ACTTGTTATGTGTTTTTAAAACAGATTTAAATTCCATGGTTTTTTTTAAATTCCAATGAATTGGATTTGTGTTAGATATAATTAATTTACATCTTTAGTGCTAAAATTTGAGGCTTGCCATAGTTGGAAATATTGATATGCACCATAAACTGTAATTGAAACGTAATTGGCCATTACATGATTTTTGGAATGTAATTAATTACATTTCCATTACTCATTACTTTTGAAACCTTCCATTACTTCATTACATGATTTTTGGAATGTAATTAATTACATTTCCATTACTCATTACTCTGGAAATATTCCATTACTCATTACTTTTGAAATCTTCCATTACTCATTACTTTTTGAAATCCTCTATTACTCATTACTTTTGAAATCTTCCATTACTCATTACATTACTCATTACTTTTGAAATCTTCCATTACTCATTACTTTTTGAAATCCTATATTAATACTCATTACTTTTGAAGTTTCCATTAATCATTACATTTGAAATCTTTCATTAATGGAACAGTTCTGAAAACCAGCATGAAACGTAGTGTTGAAGCAAACTTATAACAAAAGAGATTGGAAAAATGATACCATTTAAGTTAATAATCTTTATGAGTTGTTTTTTTTTAACATTTCACTGTAGATCGATTAACAAGATGAAGTGTTGACGCATGTTCTATCACAATAATTTTGGGCTCGTTTTTCCGTCGATGAGATCACTCGATGGAAGCGGACTTTAAAGATATTTTACGAACACACAACAACGCCATTTGAACGAACAACGACATTTTAAACTTTCAGTGAACAATTATTTTTTTTTATCATAATACTATTATAGAAACATACATCATATTTTAGTGCGTGTTTGACTGGATATGTTTGGCGTCAAGTGATATTTGATACAACCCCAATTTCGACACGTGATAATACGTAACATATCTGTTAGTTACTTGATATTTATACTAATTTAAATTTATTGAGTTATAAACAGATGATGGTTAAATTATCTATAATTGTGTTTTAATATAAGTTATTATTATTTTACAGATTTTACAGAAATGTTTCTGGGCATTTTGTTTATATTTCGAGCATTGACAAACTATTTTACGCAATATTATACTTTCTTTTGTTCGTAACTTTAATTGCAGAGATCGATTTCCTTTGTTTCCTAGTGCGTTATCATTTTATCATAACGAGAGAAGAATAGCAACATAATGGCGAATTGGATACATAATGGTCTATGGTAAGAGGCGGAAATGAAATGGGGTTTAACGTCCTACTCTTCTGCTCCGAACTCGGCTAATGAAGACGGGCATACGCCATACAGTGTCCGGAAAGCGGCACTACGGCCTACTCTCATATCGAATTCCAGCTGCCAATGTGTACACGGGACCTCGGTTTTTCGATAGGGGGAACAACGCCGCAAATCTGGATGAACTTTCTCCGCCAACGCGGGGATCGAACACCCGACCTCCAGGCTAGCGAGCCAGCGTCTTACCCACTTAGCCACCGTGACCGCCCCGCCCCCTCCCCTCCCGTCCCCTCCCGTCCCCCACCCCATGGTATAAGAATTAACACAAGCTGTTAGTAAAGTATATAGGAGAAAGTATTTTTGGCGGAGTTTCCTCTGGATTTCTGTCTAACAGCCTGCGGCGTATTACAGTCGTAACACATTTACACTGTTTCCAAGAGTCATTAACGAATCATTGTCGTATCTAACATGCGCTTTGTGTATTACTGTGGGTAACAGATGCATATCTTATAGTGAGTCAGACGAAGATACACAACCATGTAAATAAATGATAAATTTCTGTTCTTACCGTTAAAATTCTCGAGGCCCATGGAGGCACGTCGGTGATAAGCAATCGATAAGTAGTGTGATTTTTTATCTATTTTATCCACCATTAACTGGGGCAATGAAACAACACATGGAGATTTATGAGTCTGTTGAATTAGTGTCGTCGGAACCGCAGCGGAGGACAGGGAGGGTGTGTGTGTGGGGGGGGGGGGGCGTGTGTGTGGATGTGTGAGGGTGTGTGCGTGGGTGTGTGTGTGTGTGTGGGGGGGGGGGGCTGGGACCCATTTTCCCTCCCCCACCACTACATACTATTGAAGTCGAAAACAGATACATTCAGCGACTTAAGAGTCAGTAACCGTTACATGTACACATAGTCTAATAAACTAATGACGGTCTTACAATAAAGCAAAATGCATCGATAGTTGTTGAAATAATTTCCAGATACACAGCACATACGTGTCTCTGCAGAATGGAGTAAGATTCTGATTTTCAATAAAAACCGTCATTGTAATGGACAACACACATTTACCCTTTGTCTGAAATTACCCCATGGCGGATTGGATGGTCGAATGATACGCGCGTGCGTGTTGTATCATACGGTCTGTCATTGAGTCAGCTGGCGTGGTTTCGATTACCCGGTTGTACGTGACAAGGAGTAGGGTCGCCTGCCGACCTCGTTGGTTTTCCCAGGGTCCTCCCTACGCGCAAGCGAATTATTGAAATTAAATTGAACCATATGTTAGTCCCGAAATGACATAGTTTGTGTCGAGTGGAAGTTAAACCTTATTTATCTCTCCCTCTCTTTCCGAAATGACTGTCTGTCTCACTGAAATTTAACATGACCCGAAAGAAAATTGAAAATTTTACAAACTTTATGCAGATCATATTTACTGAATCTGTTTATTGAAATTCTAAACATTATACTTAAAGCTATCGGAGTTTTTTCTGTTTTTTTCATTCCATAACAAATGGTACATACCTGAAAATGATTATGTTAATCTGTGGATCTTTGCTAAAATGAATCACATTAAAAGGTCTTCCATGCGCGATAACTGGCAATTGTGTTAACATGTATTTAGAAATCGTTTTAACAACTATCGATGTGAAACAGCAAGTGTTCCAATTATTCTTGGGAACAATCAATGCCATGTTTAATTTTTAAAAAACTAAATTACACCTTAAGGTGATAATTAGTTTAATATGAAAATCATTTGAATGGACAATTATTGTGAACAGCGATAGTTTAACCATGCAGTGACCCCCCAGCCTCAATAAGCCTGTCAGATTATCGATTACCCCATCCTTTAAAAGAAATGCAAATATACATCCGTAAGATTTTTATTTCTGAAAGACTATTTGTTTTTAAAAAGACCAATTTGTCCCCAAAAATACATACCCCGCCCTCACAGCCCTCCACTCTTCCATTCAGAGCGAAAAGGTTGTCCAAGGGACGCCTTCTACAACTATTTAGTGCTACAAATTAATGTTTTACTAATCTATCTATAAGATGCTCGTCATTAATATCAGCTGTATCACATATCCAAGCCGTTTCATTGTAGTTCGATTTTACAAACAAAAAATACTGGAAGAGGACGGCTGCGTCGAATTTTTTGTTCTCATTTTATTTTAATGTTGATTAGATGGTATACTTGATTTGACACAAGAGTTATCACGGTATCAATTACATACACTTTCTAATTGTCATTTCTGAATTATTAAAATTCTACAATATATTATTTTACGGCAATGACAACTATCTTTATTAATGCTGATTATAAATATTTATATAGCGTTGATGTATAACGAGATAAGTGGTGTAAAATATCATCACTTTGTGACCCAATAAGTTAATGGCCTTATTCATTAGCTTTAACAAAAACAAGATTTATACTTTTGGATAATTTTGACAGCCTTTTTTTTTGTTTTAAGTGAAGAAGTTTTCATTCAACCGCAAGCTACTCATTTAAATGTCTTCTTTCGAATGGATGGGTGGAATAAAAAAATATTGTCAACAACATTGTGCGTGGAAAATAAGATACGTCGTATAGATTAATAATTGTTTCATTACGTTTGAGAGAAAGGAATTTTACAGCCACAAAGAAAAATGTATTGTTGGTTCGCGAGGAAAGATATGATGATTTAACGTGTTACGAATTTCCGCATTACTTGATAGATATCAAATTATCTGCTGAAAGATAAGTATAATTTAGACTTTTTAGAGTGACTTTACAGTCAGTTTTTCTTTGGAATCCTGACAGCAAGATTGGTATAGATGGTCATTAGTTTTAAGTGGGGCAGGATCGGTGTTCATTGGGATACCATAATTAAGAAACCGATAATGCCCCTGAAGAAACAGTTTTGTAATAAACGTCTAATTTTGTAACATGAGGAACAGACTAATTGTTCATAAGACGTGGCTACCGAGTGTGCGTCCTACTCATTTTTATTGTCAATTTCTTGTCTTCCTTAATTTTGGGAGTGGTGGAGTGTATGTCTTCCCAACAATGGGAAGTCTCTAGGGATTAACAATCAATGTTTATTTTTGGTTCTGGTAATACTGCACTTTCCAAAATTGTAGCGGGATTTGGGTTTTCTTCGGACTGTGGGGGGTTAAACTACCACTCGGCGTCCAAGATTAAAATTTAATTATTTTTTTTCGAAAGGTTTGAAAATCCTGTATCCGCCCCTGGACATTATGATTTAAGACCCACCGTTAAAAGCTCGTGACAATCAACGATGAGTGTGGGTTGTTGTTGATTGCAGAGAAAAATAAATGTAGGATGTTATCAAACTACATATTGTTCCATGCCTATTTGTTTCATAGCTTAACTTTTCAGGGAAAGATGACCCATAGGGTTTATTAAATCTGACTGAACACAGTTAATGCAAATGTAATGGTCCTGGAGATTTGTAAAATGTCACAATGGGTCCACGAGTGGTAAAAGTTGTGAATCACTAAATATTTGAGCTGTTTACAAAAACAAAGACAAAACAAACAGTAAATATGACAATGATTTATGTCTGATAAAACAGGCAATGGTATTATAACAATGAATGATAATGGAATAGGGAAAATTTACATCTCAAATATTATTAATTTTCTTATACTAAGCTTTCTCCAGTCAATGAATTCATTAAAGCTTCTATTACATACATACAGATTCAGATTTAACGTTACCATAATCAAAAATAATAAAAATGCCTTGAGTAAGTAAAATGCTGTTTTAATCCTATCATATCAATCAAAACACTCAGATATAATTAAATCAACATATATATTTAAGATGTACAAAATAAATCGGTATAGTTGAACATTTCCGATGTAATTAAATCCACACTATAAATATAAGAGATCCACAATAAATAGGTATCTATCAATGAAATACAATATAATAAGACTCTTGCTGTTTCAAAAACTAACAAATTATGCAATGCCCAGCATACAGTAACTAAATCGTTTCAAAATATTAAAGATTTAAAAAACAGAGATGAATTCTTAATAAACATGCATATACAAACACTTATATGACTCCTACCAGGTTTGGCTTGTATCCTTGTTCATGAGACTCTAATGGAAATGCCTAATTTAGGTCCCCATTTTCATATGAAACCTATTCTTTGACAACCAAGAATTGATATATCCTGTTGCTTCACTTATTTTACATGTCTCCCATGTAACACTATATAGATTATTTTTTGATTAAATCTTTGATATAGTGTTGTATTTCTTATTTATTTACCAGGTATATATTTATTTCTCTATCAATACTTATTATCATTACAGCTATATTTGGTCTATTGAATACTGTATTGTATTTGGGAACTTAATTCACCATATCTTGATGTCCAGTTGGGCATATTTGCGGCCAGTCACATCTGGTATATACAGACCAAACAAACATTAGTGTTTGTGCATAAGATGGTTCTTTTTTATAGCTAGATAAACACCAATATAAACCGGCTAGTAAGTAAAACCGTGACACCAGTATATATCTATATATTTATACCATAAAACATTTTCAAGTCAACTTAGTGGTTAGCTCTTGAGTTACCAGACTCATGCACTATAAACATTTCATAGTTGTTAACTAACTTTAAATATTAGTTAACTGTGAACTTTACACTAGTTAACTATGAACTTTACACATTAGTTAACAATGAAATTGTGTTACCAGACGCATCGTATAAACCTTGCATAGTTTTTAACTATGAACTTGTGTTACTAGACTCATGCACTATAACCATTGCACAGTAGTTAACTATGAACTTGTGTTAAAAAGTCGGATTATTCAGGAAGTAAATAATAAACAATAAATAGTCTATACATGTAGTTTGGATTCTTATTTAAAGAGCTAGATGACTCAATGACAGACCTTATGATACAACGAGCATGTGCTAACCATTTGGCCATCTTTATTTAGGGTCCACATTCTATTATTGGAACAGTGTAAAAGTCAAACATTTTCCAGCATGTTTGGTATCTGTGCCAACCAATTTGTTAGCATCACATTAGTTTTAAAAATGCAGTTTGATTTTAGGTTGTTGTTTTATATTAAACCTCAAGCTTCATATTTTCAGTCCACTTGTTCTATAAATATGACATCATCATCACTACTGTTGACACTACCCTCTAGTGGTACAGCTGATAGTTTGCTATCTTCATCTTCTTCTATAGCACCCATGGAATCCTACAATACAATTTATAAGGAATCAAGATAAAGGCTTGTGATAACTGAGTAATGGAAAATAAATTTCTACAGAATTTCAAAAAAAAGAGTGGAGCTGTGATGGCTCAGTAAGTTAGTAAGTCGCTGGTTCGCTCCTGATGTTGGCTGAGAAAGTTCCACAGCATTTTTCGGGAGTGGTTTCCCCTTGTCAGTGGGGAAGGATAGAGGGGGGCAAGGAACAATGTCTAGTTGTTTGGGTGGGACAAAAACCAAGGTCACATGAACACATTGGCATGCAAGCAAAAGAACCCTTAACAGTTGGAATTGTAAATAAGAATAGACCGTAGCACCCCTGCATGGTGTATTATTACTAAAATACAGAATTTGTATTGCACTAAAATCACCTGAATATAATCAGAGAAGAATTCAAAAGATACCTGAATCATCCTTCAATCATAAATTTACAATTAATACTGTCATAATAATATGTATATTGTCACTTATAGTATAATGAGTTACTCGGATAGTATATTATTACTCATAGTATAATGAGTTACTTGGGTGGTAATTAATCTGTTTAACATGTGACCTCAGGTCCACTTATCTTGTACATGTACATCTCTTCAGACAGACTCAGTTCGACCAACATCTAATTGTAAAGACTTGGATGATCCATTAATAAACATTACACTTATATGAGTTGTTAATGAGTTTACCAAGTATGAAGAAATCTGTGTACTTGTGTTCAAAAGGTTAATTTCTAGAAATTTTGGGACATTAATTAAGAGAAAAAGGAAGAACATGTAAACAAATTAGTGACAATGTTAAGACCTAATGAAAGATCTGTGAATGTCTCCCCAAGAAATTCTGACAATGCCACAGTTTTAGTTAGTACTTACAGAATCATCTGTAGGATCACAAGCTTCACAATGCCAACTGTAACCTCTACGTTTAGGAGATTTTTTAACAGGTGGATTTAAACATGTAAAATGATAACACAGTTGACATTCATCACATCTGTAAGATAAAATAATCATTTTAAAATCTCTTAAAATCAACATTTCAAAACTTTTAATATTTACTGTCTCTGTAAATTCGGACTGCTTATTCCAAATATGTAGATGATGTCAATATTAAAACCTGGGTGCTATGCAATGAAACATAACCCCATTAGAAGCGGTCATCTAAGCTGTTCATAAGAGAGGGAGAGAGAAATGGGGTTTAACATCCACTCAACACAAACTTGGTGATTTTGGGACTAACACATGGTTCAATTTTATTTCAATAATTTGCTTGCGCATAGGGGTCTTTATCAGTGGGAGGAAACCAGAGGACCCGGAGAAAACCCACGAGGTTGAACAGGCAACCCTACTCCGTGACACGTACAACCGGGAATCAAAACCACGCCAGTTGACTCAATGACAGACCTTATGTTACAGCACACACGTGCTAACCATTCGGCCACCCCTGTTCATAAGACTGTCACCAAATTATTGTTTTGGTGTGGTACAAATATTCAGTCTTTAAGTTGATTTGTTCCTGTTAAATTTGTGACCTGAATGTACATCTCAATTCAAATCGTATGTGATACACTAGATTACACACAATGACTACAGTCGCAATACCCAGCGTTACTCTCATATCAACAAGTTGTAATTTATTAGATTTAATATATTTAACAAACCATTTTATTAATACCCAACATTACTATGATATAAAGTTGTATTTTAATAGGTCTACTTTAATACATTTAAAGAACATTTTTATTCATACCCCACATTTACTGTGGCTACTTATGTTGCAGATTTCCACACTAAGCTTCTGTATTTTAGGCTGTAATCAAATAGCACACTAAGCTAATTGTATTGTTGGATTTAGTCATTTAGCACACCAAGCTATTTCTATTGTTGGATGTACTCAACAAGCACACTAAGTTATTTGTATTGTTGGTTTTAGTCAACTAGCACACTAAGCTTGCCAGTCAATCAGATGTAAAAAACAGAAATTATTATCCAGCACTTACTGTGACTGATATTGTAAATTTCCACACTCAGTCAATTATATCCTAGGCTTTAATCAACCAGCACACTAAGCTATCTGTATTGTTGTATATAGTCAATTAGTACACTAAGCCCGCCAGTCATTCAGATGTGAAAAAACAAAAAATTACTAGTTCATGAATGCTGAGAATGGAGTTTGATTCACCTTTGTATATGGAAGCTGTACTATAGTAATTCAACACAAGTTAATAAATTCTTTGAATGGCATTTAGTAATTGGAACATAATCAAATAACACACTATTTATGAACAACAATTACTATGGTTTATTTCACTGCGACGTTTCAACAAGATTTCACAAGTCTTTATCAAGACGCATTATATGCTTGTTGAAATGTTGCAGTAAAATAAACTATAGTAATTGTTATCCATAAATAGTGTGTTATTTGACAAGTTAATAAAACGTACCTAACAGTATTACTGGTTTCACCAGGTTGACTACAGACAACACATTCAACTATTTCTTCTGTTATTTCTTTCTTCTTTATTATATTAACTTTCTTTGGTCTAGGAACAACTGCCACCACTTCTTTAGTAGCTTTCTTTATCTACAATAACAGCAAAGTAACTCTTTTCTGGGCTTATTTTTCAGCGTGTTATAGTAAGAGTGTTATGGTGAGTAAGAGTATTATTCATATCTTGCCATAATTCCCAAGTAATTTCCCATAAAATAAAACCTATGTATCATTACAGACAATGTGATTAGTAACCATCGTTTGAACTCCAAAGGGGGGTGGGGGTGGGGGTTGGGTGAATGAATGGTTAACACGTGTGCATTGCATCATTGACTCAAATAGCGTGGTTTCGATTGGCTGCTTGTACATCACAATGAGTAGGGTCGTCTGTCCATCCTCGTGGGTTTTCTCTGGGTCCTCCGGTTTCCTCCCACTGCTAAAGACCCTACGCGCAAGTAAACTATTCAAATAAAAAAAAACATATGCTAATCTTAAAATAACATAATTTGAGTTGATTAGACGTTAAACCTCATTTTTCTCTCTCTTGAACTCCAATTTTAAAGAAAATATGTCACAAAAAGTAGAAAATCAAAAATAAAACCAAATGTAATCATTGATATCTAGTATTAATGATATTGGATAATATTGTGAATCTTTTTACCAACAAGATAAAATACTAATCACTGAATGATACTGATGTAAATGATACTTTTCTGCATCTGATATTGATGGTGTATTATCAGTATGTTCATGTAGTAAACCAACAATAGTAATAGTGATCTGTCTGTATACGATAACATGAATTACTAAATGATCATACCGCTCAAGAAAGTAAACAGTTGTAAACCCGACCCTCATTATCTAATTTAGATGGGCAATTTTAAACTATACGACAATAGGATCCCAATATTTTTCGATGATACTTAACAAATTTTAACAATATCCCAGCAATAGTTTGAAACTAAACAATAAATACAGAAACTATCACTAAGAGAGAGAGAGAGAGAGAGAGTAATGGGGTTTAACGTCCACTCGACACAAACTAGGTCATTTCAGAACTAACATATTGTTCAATTTTATTTGAATAATTGGCTTGCGCGTAGCGGTCGTTAGCAGTAGAGGGAAACCAGAAAACCCAGAGAAAACACACGAGGTTGGACAGGCGACCCTACTCCTTGTCACGTACAACAGGGGAATCCAAACCATGCCAGTTAACTCAATGACAGACATTATGATACAGCGCACACATGCTAACCATTCGGCCATCCAACCCCCTGAAACTCCCACTAAAACGGTACAACTACACAACACCTAGTTATAGTAATCTGTCTGTACAATAAGATAAATTACTAACCAATGATACTGATGGAGTTATATCAGTATCTTGTAAACTAATACTGACTTCTGACGCTTTCTTTGGCTTCTTCTTCTTTAATCCTTTTGATTTCTTCTTCTCCTTCTAAAAATATATAATAAAATAAATATTTGTTTGAAAAAGGGAAATCTGCTGGGACCAGGGCTATAAATATAGCTTACAAATATTAAATCTTGGTTGATGTACACCAAAAGTAACAATTTGATTCTATTTTGAATCTATATTTAATATATAAGATAAAAATCCACAATGTTTAGAAATATTACTGAACTAAATATATATGATTGATAGCACACCTTTTTATAGTCGTACATTTCCATAAATTGAAATTTTAAAGGTTCTTTGATTGTTTCTCGTAATCTACGTGGACCATCAACATCTTGTTCTGTGACTTCTTCTTCTTCACTTGACGTTTTATCACATTCTGAACATTGCCTGTAAACATGTAGATTAATGCACTTAAGTTCATAATTTTCTAATTTGATAAAACCACAGCTACTATTCTGCTTTGTTTTTTTCAGTTATAATTTTATTTTAATTATTTGTCTTCACTGTATTTGAATTTTTGCATATTTTCACTTTCACATCGTATTCCTTCTGTAGTGTATTTAGTGAGTTTAACAGTAGGTCAGGGCTTAGATCTTTGATAATTAGGTCATTATACTGTATATATCATATTGTTCAAAATTAAAGATGCATTATGTAAGATTTAGATAAAGAGCTGAAAGTTATCCTTATAACAGTTAAAAAATAGATAATGAAAAGGGAATATGTTAAATTCAGTCAAATTACTTCACTCTGAGCGGAGTGATTGCCGTTTGAAGAGCAGTGTAGACTCGATTGTCATTGCTTATCGTTATTACGATAATAAACAAAGTCTCAATTATCCATATTTTAATTAAATTATTAACTTGCAATTGTGTTTTAATCCGTTGAAAATTAAAAGCATCTGATGGTCTAGAGAATATATTATTTTCTTGGTAAGATCAAAATTCTCAATAGAATATAACACATACCATCCCATAAGTTTTGTTTTTTTCGGCATTCTTGACAATGGAGGATCTAGACAACCAAGATGATAAAATAATTTACACAAATCACATTTGGCCAGTTGATGTTGGCTGGTCGTTTTCTTGCATATACCACATCTGATAAAATAAATAAATAAATTGTAATAATCAGTAAATTAATATTGTGAAGCCATATCCAGACTTTCTAGTTGCATCACAAACTGAAAGACTAAATGTTAGCCATATTAGCTCAGTGACTAATGATGAGGTCCTGGATTCAATCCCATTCTTGGCTGAGAAGTTCCCCAAAGAATTTCCAGCGTGGTTTCCCCTTGTTAGTGGTACACAGGACGAAGGACTTAGCAAGGAACAGTGTCTAGTCATTTGTGTGGGACGAAAAAAAACAAGGTCCTGTGTACACATGCACGTAAAAGACCCCTTGACAGTTGGAATTTAAAAGCTGTCTGAGAATCATTTCCCACATAGCACACTGTTTGACACATGCTAGTCTTTATTAGCCCACATGGAGAAGAACAGTACGATGTGAAACCCCATGTCAATCTCATTGTAATTTGAAAAAAAATAGTTTTGATGATATGTTTACTTACTGGTGAATGATTGCTGGTGGTGATTTGGGCATTTCTTTTTTAGTTGGTGATTTAAATGTTTTCTTTGGTCGAAACAAATCGGGTAACTTAATATTCTGAAATGTATAGATAGATGATTTTATTTATTCTTGGTATATCTAAGTGTACAAGAATGTCTAATCTTGCTGCCCAAGGGTGCATGAGTACATGATCATTTAAATAAAGTTAAAAAATAGATAACGTAAAGAGAATATGCTAAGAATTTCAGTCCAATTGCTCCACTCTGAACCGAGATATTAGTGATAGAATTTAAGCCTAGCCTCAATCATCATTACTAAAGTCTGTACAATAAAAAACAAAGTTTCTATTATCCATTTTGATGTTATATCATCCATCACCAAATGTATTGAAATCCAGTAAGTATTGCAAATTAGCGATGACATCAGAGTTGATTATGGTCTGGATAAGTTAATTAATGTCTAATTAATAATTTAGATAAAATTTCAGGACTAAAGAAAGAACTGCAATAGGCAGATTTAGCTTTTGCATAAGGTATGCTTAAGAAATTTCCATATAAATGATCAAAATGGACATATGTTTGGTAGGATTCATGTCTATAAGCCTGGTCTGAGTCCTCCATGGTCACATTTATTCTCAACATGGTTGATTCTGTGCACATATTAAAACTAGCATCATTTTAAGGACAGCATTATAATTATATCAATAAAGAATCCTCAGAACATTGTATAAAGTACAGTAGAAACTTGTAATAGATTTTACCTTTCCACCAATATCCATTAGTTTATGCCATATATCTTCACCCTCTGTACGTAATTTATTATTAGATTCTTTCAACTGTTCACAACTGTAAGATAACTACAAAACAAATAAATATTTCAATAAGAAAACCAAATAACAATTCAATAACAATAACTACAAAACAAACCTGTACTTTAGTAACAAATTTTGCTGTAGCAGTGAGTAACTTTATATATGGGAGTAAAATAAATATTCCAGTTTTATGACCAATACAAATAGCCCAGCAGAAGTACGTTTTAACAACATGGCTAATAAACCAGGGCCATACAACCTTTTTTTTCCTCAACAGATCTTTAGTCCAAAAACGTACATATTTTATTTCAGAAAAAGTTGAAAAAATTTAAAAATGAAATGAAGTTTAACGTCCTACTGTTCTGCTCTGACTGGGCTTATGAAGACGAGCACACGTCATGCCAGGCCCTCTGTCCTGCCCCACTGACAAGGGGGAACCGTGCCAGAAAATCCCGATGAACGACACTACAGCCTACTCTTATAATGAATTCCAACTGCCAAGGGATCTTTTACGTGCATGCCAATTTGTATACGGGTCCTCGTTTTTTTGGCCCATCCGAACGACTATATGTTGTCCCTTGCCAGGCCCTCTGTTCTGCAACACTGACAAGGAGGAAGTACACCAGAAAATCCCGATGAAATAAAACTTAAAAGATTTATGGACTTCAGTAATTGAGACAAATGGACAAGCCATAACAAAATGACTGAAATGGTCAAGAAGACATGGAATGAACTGAAACTAATCGTTGATTTATTTACCTGATCATATTTTAGTCGTAAAATTTTCTCCTGTTCGTGAAGTTTGGTATTCTGTTTCAATAATTCCTTCTGATTATTTTTCATATTGTCAATTCTAACATTACGCTCTGAAAAATAATATAATAGGTTTGAAGCTTACTTGAATTTGTTTACTTGGAAAAATATTTAGAGAAATGGGTTTTAAAATCCACTTAACACAAACTAGCTCATTTCATGACTAAACATATGGTTTAATTTTATTTCGATAGTTTGCTTGCTTGTAGTGAGTCTTTAGCTGTTGGAGGAAACTGGTAACCCAGAGAAAACCCATAAGGTTTAACAGGTGGCCCTTCTCCTTGAGTCAGTCTACCATTAATTTTCGTCACAGAGAGAGAGAGGGAGAGAGAGAGAGAGAGAGAGAGAGAGAGAGAGAGATGGGGTTTAACATCCACTCAACACATTTCAGGACTAACACATGGTTCAATTTTATTTCAATAATTCGCTTACTTGTAGGGGTCTTTAGCAGTGGGACGAAACTGGAGTACCCGGAGAAAACCCACGAGGTTGGACAGACGACCCTACTCTTTGTCAGGTACAATCGGGGAATCAAAACCACGCCAGTTGACTCAATGACAGACCGTATGATACAGCAAGCATGTGCTAACCATTTGACCCCTCACCCTCAATTTTCGTCAAGTTGCGTCCAAGTAGTTTTAATTCAATCAATATCTACCTAAATAATGTGATATGAATTCTGTAGAGAGTGCTGGAGCTGTGTGCCATTTCTTTCTAGTTTCCTGTTTCTGATTAGGCGCTGCCTGGACCTTTAATAGAACAATCATAAATCTAAATCATAATACATTTATCAGGGCCTTCTGATCTTCCATGGGATTACATCCATGGGCATCAACCTGGGTAATAGTTAGTCTTTAAGCTAAAAGTTGTAACTTGTGTCACATATATATGAACTGTTTGTTTTATTTTTTGTCGGTCGGTTGGACTGTATTATTTATTACAACCTGACTGCAAGAGGGACAAAATATTTATATTAAGAAGGTATATACATATATACTTATAGCTCAATAGAGGCAGAGAGAGAGAGAAATAGGGTTTATTAACGTCCACTCAACACAAAAAAGGTCATTCAGGGACTCACAGTTCCATCATTATTTCAATAAATCGCTTGTGCGAAGGGGTCTTAGTATCACCCACAAGGTTGGACAAGCGACCCTACTCCTTGTGACATATAAGCGGAGAATTGAAACCACGCCACTTGACTCAATGACAGACCTTGTGTTGCAAAGCACACACGTTAACCATTCAGCCACCCATCTCCCATATAGCTCAATAAGAAATAAGAATTATCTCAATGTTTGAAAAAAGAATATAAAATAAATGAACATACATGTGTTATAACTCCCATTAATTCTGCTTTTCTCAACATATTTCGTACTGCAGATGGACTGGAAGACAGATATCTCACCATCTTCTGTGTAGGTACTGAAATACACATGTATAATGTTATACTGAATTTAACAAGAACCATTAACAAACGAAGGGGAATAAGAATAAGTTTTAATTGTAATTAATTAAGGCTAGCAAGAGGAGAACTTTATTAAGAAAGTAGTGAAGGAGGGGAGAGGGGGGAAATGAAGTTTACGACTCCCTGACCATACAGTTTGCTATGAGGGAAATTTTGCCTGGACAGCGGCAATATGGCCTACTCTTATATCCAATTCTAACTGTCAAGGGTTCTTTTTAAGTGCAAGCAATGTGTACACCTGACCTCGGTTTTTCGTCCTCGACGACACCAGAAAATCCCAATTAACTTTCTCAGTCAACACAGAGATCGAACATGAGACCTCCAAGTTAGTGAGCCAAACCATTAAATAAGAACAGTGTACATAAAATACAAAACTTATAACTAATGAAAATATATCAAGATGCATATCTATTTTAAATGTATGAATGAATAAAATGGGGTTAAGGTATACTGCTCTGCACCAACTAGGCTAATGAAATCTAAATTTAACATATGTATAAATTACATATATATATACATACCCCATGATGGTGGTCGTTTTTGTCTGGCTATGGTATACTTTTCACAGTGTCTTTTTAACTTTCGTTCAAATCTTGTCTACAAAACAAAGTACCGCAAATTCTTAAACATATATATTGAAATAAGGCGTACATTTAAGTTTCTGGTTAGATTTTAAAAGTATTCTATTCACTCTGTGTAAACAGCTCTGAGAGGTTATTTTTGTTCCACAAATATCCATCTGTATCCCTATGGAGTTATAATTACTTTGATATCTGGGATGTTGTACTGTACATTTATCAGACATCATTTTTGCCTCAATAACACCATTTTCTCTATTGAATATTTTAAATTATAAGAAATAAAACAAAATGTTAACATCCTACTTTTCTGCACCAACCCAGCTAATGAAGACGGACAAATGATATACAATATGTACATCAATTAAATGTAATTTTATCCTTTCAAACAAATCTACGTACCTTTTCCTTTTCGTCATCTATAGATTTTTCTTTCAATTTTCTAACTCTAGATTGAATGGCCAGCCAGTTTCTACGTTTAGCTCTAGAAGTATTTTTATCAGCATGAAGTTTACAATAGGCATAAAATGGATCAGCAATATCCTATATTAAAAAAAAAGAAAGTCATGTTATAATGAATATAAAATATCTTTATTTTTGTATACCGGCGTTGTTTTGTTTTATTGAAGATGAATCAAACACATTAAGAAAAAGAATATTCATTAGGATACAATACAATATGTACATAATCATAATACTTTTGATCAGAGCCAGATTTAGAATTTGTAGATTCCTGGGCTACAGGTACTATCAGGCCACCAGAAAGTCAGTAATGCCTTTTGAATCTAGGACATTTTTAACCACCCACCACCCCTGGTACACAGTACAGTGTTTCTTTTTGCTGTAGTAGGCTTACTACAATATATACATATATATATATAGACAGTATATCAATTGCACTCTTTTGTAAATAGATAACTAAAGCCAATTCATTAATCTGGCCCTGCTTGTGGTACATCAAGTATATCTCAATATTTCACAATTTTTCAACTATACTATTCAAAAAAAGTAGGGGATATTTGATTTTTAAGTGTTATTAAAGTCACCTAATGAAACTGACGAAGAAACAAATGACAAAATGAAATGAAGTTCACATTCATCGATTTATTCCAAATGATCGTTAGACTAAGTAAGGCACAGACTGACCATTATAAGGGTAAAATGATACCCGGGGTCAAACAGCAAAGTTACCACAGCATCACAACCAAGTCAGTAACGGGTAAATTCTCCTCTGTTTGCCAAACAAGCATTGATCCGACGTGGCATACTCCTAATGAGACGTCTAAGGTCATTTTGGTCCAGATTGTCCCATTCCTGTTGCAACGCAGCAGCAAGTTCTTGGACATTGGCAGGACGTTGTTGACGTTGACGTAACCTCTGTCCAAGCATGTCCCAGACATGCTCGATGGGGGAGAGGTCGGGACTCAGTGCTGGCCAAGGTAATGTGGTGATGTTCTGTTGTTGGAGGTAACCTGTAACGATCCTGGCCCTGTGACATCTTGCGTTGTCATCCTGGAAGATGAAACGGCGGCCATGACGTCGTGCGAACGGCACAACATGGACTGCCAAGATGTTGTCCCGGTAGTACTGGCCTGTAACACGCCCTGCAACAACATGTAAAGCCGTTCTTCCAGCAAAAGTGATGCCTCCCCACACCATAACAGAACCACCCCCAAATCGATCATGTCTGATGACGTTAACGTCTTGGAAGCGCTCGTTTCGACGACGCCACACCCTCCTACGTCTGTCCAAAAAATCAACAGTGAACCTTGACTCATCTGAAAACATCACATTGCTCCAGCGTCGATTATCCCAGTGTTGACGATCCCTACACCAACGACGTCTTGCCTGAATGTGATGATCTCTCAAACAAGGGATCACGCGAGGACGTCGGGCGCGAAGGTGACCCCTATGCAGTCGATTCCGAATCGTCTGGCCACTCACTCTCACGCCAGTGTCTGTTTGAAGACGAGCGCTGATCTGATTTGCTGTGATGACACGATTTCTCAAGGCCAAGGTACGGATAAATCGATCCTGGGCTTGAGTTGTCGCCCTTGGTCGACCTGAGCGTGGTCTGTCCTGTACAGATTGTGTATCACGGTATCTGGGCCATAGCCTGCTTATGACAGACTGAGAAACATTCATCGTCCGCGCCACAACCGCCTGTGTTGTGCCGATCTGTAGCATGCCAAGGGCACGTAACCTTTCATTTTGGGTAAGCCGACGCATATCAAAATTTGTTTTCTGGTCACTAAAACAATTAAACTGATGTTTCCACCCTGGAATTCAATGCCACAATGACTGTAACATTCAAAGTCAGAGTCGTGCAAATCTTGGGTTGGACCCCCATGATGATCCCAAGCATCACCTGCATTCCATGCTGTAGCTATTGGTGCGTTTGGGCGTCACATGTAACTGGAAATGTTTCTTCTGTTAGGTTCTATAGTGACTTTTTTCGTAGTCATTTGCATATTTTAGTATTATGCCCCCAAAATCAAATATCCCCTACTTTTTTTGAATAGTATATATATTTTATAGGCAGGTTTTTTGCTCCAATCAATAATCAATTACAGAAATACTACAATAGTACAACAAGTTGCTTACCATCACTTCTTCTGGTGAGGCTTCAGATAATAAACCTTCTCTCTGAGCACTGTAATACAAAAAATATAATACAAAGACCAGAAAAACAATCCAATTTTAAAATGAAAATTTAAGTCACACAAACAAAACAAACAAATGTGTGAATTAATCAAATTTAAAACAATAATCATCATTTGAAGCTTTTTGAATCCTTTGCAAACTACAATATTTAGGAGGTTCGGTCTCTAAAAGTAGTATCAGTCCCAAAATGGTTCAATTCTGTTCAGTATTTACAAAGATATGATAAATTGAAAATTCTGAAACATTCTGCCAGGATGCAGACAATTTAGATATGGCAGTGCCAGCTGGGTGATTATCTTCGTTTGATATTTTTTCCTTAATAAAACTTTAAATAATCAATTTGAGTACATATTAACGTAGGTTAAGATGAGAAACATTAGATAGAAAAATGTACGCCAGGTGACTTTAACTTACCAAGTGACATGGAAATATGATCTACACATTCCAGCATCACAACTAATACATACACCAGTTCTACTGAATCTTATATCTTCACATAATGAACATTCCTATAATACATATTTCTATACAATATTCCTATAATATATATCTTACAATATTCCTATAATATATATTTCTATCTTAATATTCCTATAATATATATTTCTATCTTAATATTCCTATAATATATATTATACAATTGTCTCTGTCAGATTAGTTGATAATCTAGAAAGAATATTTGAAATGTTTGTGATATGAAGTTAGTGTAAATTGCTTGGTGAATTAATTAACATTGCATAAAATGTTCAAAACTTGTTTAAATATGTTAAGTCAATTCAGGGGGAGGCGGCTTAATTGTTTGAGTAAAATTTGAAAATAGAACCTGTTTATAGCTTACCCTTGCACCCCATCTGGCATACGGCATCTCAAATAGAGTTATAGGACTTAGTTTATCAACATCACCAAATGCTACACCAGGTGTATACAGGGCACATACCAGATGGACCCACCTAAAAAAAAAAAAACAATTATATAAGAGTCACAGGTGCCTTAGTAATTGCCCATCATTTAACAGTATGCGTGTATTCAAGATTTCATTTGATGAGGATTTACATAAATGTAACCAATCTTGTATAGACATGTATATAGTTTATTGCTCTTAAAAACGCTTTGAGCATGTTTATGGATGGATTTGGTGCTCAAGAAATGAACATTTATTATTATTATTATCAAGATGTGGGTATGACATAGACTTAGTGGAGTATATGATGATGAAAGTAAAACTTCTTCTTCAATAATATAACAACAGTTATATTCCTGTTGGTGGTTTATGTCTAAATGGAGTATGATGACTAACGCAAAAGAGAAAAAGGTTCAAGAACAATTATAACATTTGGTCAAAAAACAAACAAAGACTTACTTTCCAGTATCTGTTTCTTTAAAAATTCCACCAAAATTGGGACACAATTCACAACTCTAAAAAATATTATAAAAAATATATGATTACTACTTTCTTTGAGTGCTTGATTAAATATAAAACAAACAATTAATATAGAGTCATAATGCTATGATTTATAACTTTTACTCAATATTTGTCATTGTCAATTTCTGTTTATCTTACTTAGGCCATGCACTCCCTGCTTCTATGTGACAAGGAGTAGGGTCAACTGTCCAACCTTATGGGTTTTCGTTGGGTCCTCTGGTTTCCCCCATGTGCAAGTGAATTAATGAAATAAAATTGCACCATATGTTAGTCCTGAAATGTGTGGACTTTCAATTCCATTTCTCTCTCCCTCTTACTTATGCCACACCAAATATGCTTCGGAAACATATATTTAAATTTTGCTTCTTATTTCTTCACGAAAAAAACAAATTTAAAAAGAAAAAGCTCTTTATTCTGAATGTTAAAGGTTTGAAATATTACTAAAACATCGCACCGATAATTGAGTGGGTTAAAATTTAAATTGGTTTGGCTTTAACAGTATTGAAAGACTTACAGGTTTAACACCAGCTTTACAAGCATCACAGAACCATGGTTCGGTACTGGCTGATGAATCGGTACTAGTTGTAGACTGAAAATCACTAATACCATAACAACCTAAATAACATTACAAAAATATTATCACTTTCATCAAGATTATAAACATAATACACAACACCATACTGAAAATAACCATCAAGATTAATTTAATTATCAAAAATTGGATCACTGACCTACTGATCAGTGAGAAATTTATTTTACACCAGAGTTTATTGAAGACCTTGAAAGTAACTAAAATTGGAACATCTATATCTCTAATCTCTCATTTGAACACATCAGATATACCCATATCATGTTACATACATGATTTAATATATGTATAATATAGTATATTATACCTTCATGAACTGCTTTAATCCTATTGTTTGTTTTAAACTAGTTATTAAATATGATTTATTGTAATATAGTATATTATACCTTCATGGACTGATGCTCCACAATTATCACATTCAACAATCTCATCATCATCACCCCTTAAATAACCAACAAATAAAATATATCAAGAAACTAACAATACACAGACATTGCCATTTGCCCTTTACAGCTACAAATCTTCTTTGAATAAGATTTGACCAGAACACTCTCCCTTAGAAGCAGAGTTGTGATTATTAACATTATAAATTATTCGCACTGAAATAGGGATTCTTCCACCCTTCTACCAACATCAGTAGAAGGTTTATTCATCACTAATTTGGAACTTTAATTATAAATCATACTCACGTAACATCTGTTAAACAAACACAGCAGATTACAATTTTAATATTCTGATTATCTAGCATCGGTGGAGGAGTTGGTGCCTGAAATAAAAATCTTCCTTTAAAATTTCAACATTGAAAGCTTACTTAAAAGGTTTCCCAGCGGAGTCACAATTGCTTTGGAAAGTGTCTTAGGTGGGATGAATCTTTGTTTAGTCCCTTAAACAACGAACAGACCTTCATTTCATTTCGTGACATTTTTTTACCTTCACAAGCCACATTTCAGCCATGCCCCCCCCCCCACAACAACATCTATGTGCCATGAACTAATTAAATTATCTAATGAAATTGTCAATTTTACATGTACATGTATTGTGCATTATTGGGATTTCTTATTTTAAACAGAAATTTCTCTTTGAATTAAAGCAACAATGACCACTCAGCTGTGATTGGTTGAAAATATCAAAAGAGTTGACAATTTTAGACCAGATTGATTATAATAAATTGCTAGGGTGTGTAGTGAAGTAATAATAATACTGTAAGCTCTCAAAAGGGTATGGCAAATGCTGTGAAAAATATCCAGGTAAAAAAAAATCTTGATGAATGATAACATAAAATTCTTTAAACTAAAATAACTGGGAATGTATTTTTCTCAAAAAGGCTATTAAAGTACATTCCCTTGTATTTTATTATAGTGGTTTATCTCCGTTGGTTGTCCGTTTCAAATTTCACAATACCTCATTTATAGCCTCAACAATTTCTTTATGGGTTAATCGCTGGAAATTTCACAATACCTCATTTATAGCCTCAACAATTTCTTTATGGGTTAATCGCTGGAAATTTCACAATACCTCATTTATAGCCTCAACAATTTCTTTATGGGTTAATCGCTGGAAATTTCACAATACCTCATTTATAGCCTCAATAATTTCTGTATGAGCAATTGCTGGAAGTAATTTCTTCTTTTTCTGATTTGGTACATAGTCTTCATCATCGGCACTATCTAAATCCATGTTTAAAAAATTACTAAGACGAGACTTCCCATTATCGCTCTCTTCCCCTGAACTATCGTTATCGTCACTTTCTGAGCCTGAGCTGTCATCACTCTCTTGGTTAGCTTTCTCTTCACTATCTTCTTCATCATCACTATCACTTTTATCTATAATTGAAACCAGTGTAAAATGTCTAATAATAAACAATCTGATTAAAATACAGATCTATATTTCGTTCCGTTTTTTTTATACTTTCAATGGCCTACACTACATGAAGATCTGACCGGTTGTAGCGATAGGTCGCGTCAGAGGTCATATGAGCGGCTTTTGACCCTATGACGTCAGACATTTGATTAACCAATCAGCATTGATGTTACTAGTGGACTACCCACAGTTCCGTGCAAACCACGCCTAAGGCTCCCCGTAACAGACCGTTTCTTGGCTAATAGCTCACATCATTCAAAACACGTCAATGATAACAACTCTTCCAGATCCCAGTGTAGCAAAGACAAGTAAAACAAAATTTTTAACTATAAAAACGAAACGAAATGGGGTCTGTGTTTTAATTAGATTGAATAATAAAATAACCAAACTCTTGATTGTCTTCTTTTGACTGCACAGATGGTCGAATGGTTAACGCATATCGTCGGTGAAGTTGCAAAAGGTCGTATCTCTTTTTTTCCTAACTTTACAGGAGAGACTAAAAACTTAGTTACTGTTTTTCTATAAAAAATACAAGTTTGATCTTTTACGGTTCAACGTATAAACCAGGAAAAAATCTCATGCAGTCCATTTAAAGAAATCCACTGTCATTTTTTTGTGTACCGAGTTACGACAATTTGACACGTAAAATTAGAAATTAATATAGTTTATACGATCTTTTGTTGCTTTTTCTGATGATCATAAAAAATTATTCAATTGGAATAGAGATACGATTATTAGATAAAAAAGATGTGCCATACCATGGGGAAATCAGAAATGCAAAAAATCATTTTTCATCAAAAACCCAATATACGACCTTTTGCAACTTCACCAACGATATGCATTACATGTAGATCATAAGGTCTGACAAGGAGTAAGGTCACCTGTCCAACCTCATGGATTTTGTCTGTGTCCTCCAGTTTCCTATGCCTTTTGTTCATTTCTATATATATTTCATGGACTAAAAAAATGCATATTACTCTATTTTCATATTAGACTATCACCAAGGATATATTCCACAACAATAAATAGAAATATTGCATTATATTGCAACATGGTTTTCATCCCTGCTATTAAATATCATTAAAAATTCACCTTTTTTGTGTTTTTTCATGTCAAAATCTGAATCTTCATCACTATCATCTCCTCCACCAAAATCAACTTGTATCATGTGCTTCTGAACAGGTTTAACACGACGTTTCTTTGGATCTCTTTGAACTGAAAAGGATAAGAGAGGAATAGAGGTTACATTCTCATCAACACAATACTTTGGTTATTGTGAGACTAACATATGGTTATTTTTTTACATAGTTAAAAGGTGCAATGCTAAGGAGGAGAATTTTGCCTGGACAGTGGTGTTAACTCTTAATCGTATTCTAGTGGTCAGCTGTTATTTTACTAGCACTCCAGCATGTACACTGGTAGACCTTTGTTTTTTGTCCCATTCAACCAAATTACTAAGCATCATGCTTTTTCTGACCTGTAGGGGCTATACCTGACAAGTGGGAACTGGGCTGAAACCATAGGCGTACGAGCTGGGCACCAAATGCTGGGAAAATTTGGTCACACAATTCTACTTTGTAAAAGTTGTATAAAAAAATATTGTGTTCTTGAATGTGTCCAATTCAACAGCGAACTTAAATTCAGAGTGTCTATAGTTAGGCAATTAAATAGAAATCTTAAGACTCGAACCCTCTATTGTTTGGAGTACAGTAAGCCACGAGTTACAGTTACATAAACAACTGTTTTTAGTTGTGTATATTACAAGCAAATAAAATTTAGTTCTCTTTTATTGATGATTTAGAAATTAAGAACTTATTCATCACAAAAGCGATATAGTACATACTAAGACCCTAACTACATTTTTGGGGAACCAACCACTACCACCCCCACAGTCAAAAATTTCCCTGTACGCCTATGGCTGAAACCAGCACCCAGATTAGATCTATTCCAATGAAGACTGCGAATTTGGAAAACACCAGTAAGACTGAAAAATTACATTAAAAAATAATGTCTTGTGTACCAACTCAAATTGAGTACATTATATTTGAAGAAGTTTGATGTAAATCAGTTTATACAATAATAAAATATCATATGTGTTGCAACCCATTTGTGTCCGTTTCTAGGTGCTCAAGAATAGCGATTTATATTGGCTTCTTTAATCTTAAGACAGTAATCAAACTTACGGTAATTATATTATAATGCCTGGTGTGATCCCTAAAAGTTATAATCATTTTGCCAGTCCATTTCAGTACAGTTGTTTATTCCTTGGGCTAACAACCCATCAGATACAATACAGTACAATATTATACAAAACATACAAATGTGAAATTATTTACAATATAAATTTTAAGAGGTTGTTGTTTATGGGAGAGTAGACATTGCATATTTTTAAGATGTCAATTTATATTGTTAAGATTTTTGAGTAATTTGTTTATCGATTCAAAAGCTATTGATAGGTACTTTCCTAGATATGTTAATTTTATTTCTTGTGTTTATAATGGGATATGGTACTAATTTTGGTAAAAAAACTACCATAAAGTATTTTGTTCAAAATAGTAAATATAACATTACCGGTAATATATTGCAAAAACAATATACATGTATTTTACAAAAATTTAATTTTTGTTTGATAAAATATAATAACTGATTCTTAATCATTTGATGAAAATAATAAATACAATGAATGTACTCTAATTCATTTTGAACGTGGTTTCAGCTAATCATTACAATTACCTGTACAATCAATTAAAATTCCCAGTACAAACTAATCAATTGATTAGTTAATTAAGTACTTAACACACTTCTAAGCTGTTAGTGATAATGTACATGTAACCTGACTAAAGCTAATAATCTTTAAATGGCATTTGGTAACTGGATTGAGTTAAAACAAAAACACATACTTAGCTTGAAAATGTTGAAAGACTTCTCTTCGAAAAGTCGCCTTAAATAAACTACATGTAGTAACTGTTTTCCATAAGTATGTGTTTTTGGGGGGTTTTCTGACTAAAACTGAACATCAATACTAATTTTTTTTTATTTTAATGTGAAAGATAAAAGATATCTGATGTTTTCAACTACCATACTAGCTGGTTATCTTTATTAGGTAAATCAAAAAATTTCCAATAGGATATTACATGTATACCCCATTTCTTTTTATTTCCAAACAATGGTTTTATGGTACTTTCAATTTTTTTAGAAGCCTATCTACCAAATCTCTATGCACAGTTTTGGACGCCAGATGCAGATGATGCCACTTTGCCCTGAACTAATTTCCAGGAGCGGAAAATTGGACTTCAACAAAGCTTGGCAGAATTTAATATGTGGATTTTAAGGCCACCACATGGAGGGTATTTCAGAATGTTACGCCTGATGTTAAAGTTCAATAATGGATGTCCTTTTCATTTTAGCCAAACGTTTTGGAGGTCCTATGTAAATAACTATTATGTGATTGGTAATAATAAATAACAAATATTTAGTTGGCTGTTTTGACCTGCAAATTGTTAGACATTTCGACCAAAAGTTTTGGCTGTTTCGTTTTGCCCATTTTATGTCTACCTACATGTAGTACCATGTACATGTATATAATTAGAGACTTGAAAATATCATTAATTTTTTATTGGGTCAAGTTTTCGTGTACATATCATATTATCTGCCTAATGTTCTTCACTGAAAAGGTCATTCAGTTTGTTACATCAAACGATCAATCTATGCTAACTTAATTTGACATGATAACCCAGCTTCTCTTTAGACTAGGCCTACTACTGGTGCTACTACTAAATTAATACTAGAACGACACTACATGTAGTTGTCAACATACCATAATTGTTGAGAAATATGTTACAGTACCGGTGGCGGTATTGCATTCCATTTTTGACAACTAGTAGACATTTTTTATTCACACCTTCAATTCAAGGAGTTATAGCCTCAATACTCCAGGGTGCCTTGAGGTTTCGTTCAAACGTAACCTCAAAGTTCTTTAAGCCGTTCTTTCTTGGAGCGATGAGCCACTGAATTGTTGGCGCATCAAATAGCCACAAGCTGAAAGGCGTCAGTCGATAAATTCTAAATGCATGTCCTACCTTATTGTGTGATCCATCTCTGAACAACAATGACACTTACTGACAAACAAACGTTGTTCAGTGAAACAGGTTTATTCAATATCACATACACCAGCATTTCTTTCAGTCGCCATGTTGGGATAGTTTGACCTTTTTTTGACGTCATATCCTCCGCATTAAAATTTGAGGATCCCTGTTTTACGCGAAACGAAATGCATTTTTGTACAATATTTTTATGGATTGCGTATATGTACTGTTTTTGTAGAGGTTTTATATCGGGATAGAAGACGATGTTTGTTGAAGAATAAAATTTAGGTCGCTCTTCACACGTAGTTGAAAATACACAACGTCTATTGAGAACTTAATAATTATTTGTTGCATGATTAATTAGTAGTAGTATGCTAATTAGATCATCATGACCAGTGCTTGAAATGAGAATTCTTCTACAACGGCACCAAAAATTTATAAATGCCGTAACAAAAATTAGCTGACAATTATTGACCTAATCCCAAGCCCATCCGCCCCTGAACGACTGTATGATATATTGAAAAGTTATTACCTATGCATTTCATACGTCTACATGTATATAAAAGGCATAACTTTTTGATATGTGTACACGTGGACAACGGCGCAATTTGGGCTATTTTTATTACCGTGGCAGTTCGTGTTTGCTTCAGCTTTTACTTTTTACAACAGTTTTGCCGTTATGCCGGGGTAAATTCTAGCATAGGCGGTATGATTGAGATTATTATTTACAAAATGTTATTAAATGTTCATTACAATATAAACCCTTCAATTTGTCTGCGTACGTAGAATGTTTCATCGCGACAGCTTGATTTTGATAGCTTCTCTCTTGTTAATGTCACGTGACATTTTCCCGCTATTCTATCGATAGAGTTGAAAAGATCTATAATAAAGCATTGAGTCTTGTATCACACACACGGCAAATAAATAAAAGGGCCGAGTGCCATTTTAAGTAAGAGACTAGAGAGAATGCTTTGTTCACAATTTGAATAATATTTTATGAAAAGATTTATTGGCTGCCGAGTCATTTTGAACAAATATCGGTAAAATTTCTTCTGATAGACTACTCATCGGCCAATTAGGCTACTGAATAGTGAAACCGATAATCGGACCATCACTAAAAATAAATTTAAAATGATTGCCTTCAAATTATAGTCTCATCATTTCGTTTCGTTTAAAGAATTCCGTTCGTAATATGCACCATGCCAGATTTCAACTTTCACCAATGTAGGTCATTTCCTGTTTCACTGTGTTTTGATGGTTGAAGGCGAAGACTTTTGTGAAATCTCTTAAAATAGACAGCAAAAAATATTTTTCGGAACATAGATGGATATGATATGTAAGTTTAATGTGTTAGCAGTGCAGATAACTGAAAATTATGAATTTTGCCGTCCGCTGAAAGAAGTAAACTAGTTATCAACTTTTGCGACGAGTTTTTGACCGTTCGGATGTTAGATGTTACGTCCTCAGAATATCAAAGAGTAACATCTAACTTCTTGGATAATTATAGCCTTAATTTGGTATTGCATTCCATTTTTGACAAGCAGTACGGTAGACATTTCTTTTCACGCCTTCAAGGAGTTCAATAGGTCAGTGCTTGGAATTTAAATAGTTACTAATATTTGAAACATTGTGTCAATTTAGGCATAATAATATTTACTTTACATATTAGCCTTTTTTATTAGTCATTAGGCCTAATGATCAATCAGATTCAGTGTGAATGTGATGAATTTATTTTTCTAGAATACAAAACTTACGCATGGCCTTAAAAAGAAAACTGACACTTGGGTCCACTTCCTCTATGCACAAATTCTCCATTTTTCAAGTCAGATATATTCTAAAAAGTGAATATTAACTTAATTTTACGTAAATTATTTTTCTTTTTGGCTTTTGTCTTCCATCTTTTAATCAGAGTTATCGCCCCAGAAATATCCTCTAATGCTAAACTTAGGTGTAGAAAAAATAGCGTGTAAGCCTTTGTTTCAGATTTTCTTACACATTAGGCCAATTCAAAATAATTTTATAAAATTAATTGTCATTATTTTGTATATTTGTTTTACATACTTTAAGAGTAAAATGTTTTGAGATTTATTTAATATTTGGTATTGGAGAGTTGTCTGTCCCTAACCTTCAGCCATTTTTCGGAGTGAAAGCACACAGGACTTAGTCTTAAAAAGTAGAAGGCAAAATGGCTGGTAAAGCGAAAATGATGACGGGATTGACCTTTGCAAGTCTTAAACAGCACAACTCTGTAAGTTATCGAAAACCTTTAATAGAGAATCTGTCATCTATTGATTAATACAACGTCCTTTTTTTTTTTAATTTGTAGTCGTAGACGTAAACACATACACTCAGCTGACGTTTCAGACCCCACTGCCGGTCACCTATCCATTCCATCATTCTCAATATTCTCATCTCGGGGATACTCGATTGTCATTGCGTGACACGGAATTCAGTCCTGTCACAGTTCTGCCTAGTTCAGCTCAGAACGTAGTTGTCATTATAATTACTCGCCGTTCAGTATTTACGCCGGTGATGAGGTGAACCGCAGGTGAGGTGTAATTTTGTCGTCGCGAGTCATGCCACGTATACGCCAGTTTGATTTGCGTATTGACTTTTCTTCCTCGTCGGATTGTCGATTGGTACGAAACTGCGGCTTCAAATGTGGTTACACCTCGTTTTCGAATTTTCACTCTAGCTGCTCCGACTCCGAGTGCGAAGAAAGCTAAACGTCAAAAGATTGAAAGTAGAAAACAACACGATTTTGGGACGGATATTAGAATAGCATAGAGTAAATAATATATTGATTTGAAAATATATATACATGCAGGGCTTGCCACGAGACGCGAGCAACTGCTCGCGCTCGCGCTGTGCTCGCGTAAATCTACATTTACGCGAGCGGTTCATTGCTCGCGCAAAATTTTAAGAAACCCTGTAAAAATAATCAAAATATTGACAAGGTTATTGCCGAAACTAACCCAACAATGTCAATAACGTCATAAATTCGTCTGTCAAACTGAGATTCACCCAGCTGCACGCGGCATTTCCTCCTGAAATTTGATTGGCTAATAAAGTTACTCGCAACTTGTGTTACTAAAAATACACTTTAGACCTGAACGTCATGACTGGTTTTCCTACGAACACCAGTAACAAACTTGTGATAATCGAGTCTAAAGTTAAGAATGTTTACATCCGGCATTTGGCATTCACGCTAAATGAACACGTTTCAAACTAATATTTATCGGTATTTCCTATTTTATCAGAACTTTGGTTTTTATTCCATTGTGCAGTCGTATAATTTTCAATCTAAGCGTAATAATGGCCAAAGGCAACCTGATTGCCCTATCCACATTTATTTCGTGGGGTGAAGAAATCCATACGGAAATTGGTTTTAATAAAGAAGAGTACGTATGACTGTCAAAAACAGAAAGCGATGGTCACACATGTTTACTGCAAACTTTGTGCCAGGAATAGCAATTTTCTTATGATTTTAAATTGAAACAATGTTACAAAATGTGTGCTCACACAAACAACATTTTGCGTGAGCAATTTTTATTGCTCGCCTTGCTCCCCAAACCTAAATTTGCGTGAGCAGTCATCTGCTCGCCATCAATTTATTCGTGGCCAGCCCTGTACATGTATTCAGCTTTAATTCTGCGCGTTTTCAATGAAATCAGTAGGTGCTTCAGGAGCCAAAATATGAAGTGTGAAAAATTTTTGATCCTGTTTCAAAGTGTCTGCCATGTAAGAAAGTTAGTGGAATTTTACCGCTCACGACTGCGCACGATTGCCTCAATTTTCATTCATTGTTCTTCAGATTAAAGGGGCGTTAATTAATTAGGCATAACTTCATTAATATAGGGCTTATCAAGCTCATTTTGGTGTAATTGTAAAGCCCTATCCAGAAATAACAGAATTAAAGCCATACAGGATAGTTGAAGTTTTTGTCGTCGTCCCTACTTTCAGGAACTGCCCTATTGAATCCTTGTCGAAAAACCTTTGAACACCAGTCAATTTTACTGGGCAACTTTTTACTGCTAAACGGTCGCGTTTCAGTCCCAGTGAATGCCTGGTATGACGGTCTATGAGATGAGTGAAATTACGAGAGGTTAAGTATTAAGAGATCAAGGTATTTACCATGTGATAACCGAAAACTAAAGTAGAAAATTCGAGAGATGAGTGAAGTTACGAGAGACATTAAATGAGACTGTTAGAGGATATCTGACAATTCCAAAAAACATATTTGAATGTTCTTATTAAGATACATGTAAGAGAAAACGAGAAAAATAGAAATAGCCGTACATTCCCTTGTTTATATTTATTCTAATTCTATACTTAATAAAAACATGGTAATGCACAGATTTTTACTATTTTTTTTAGTTTTTTCTTAACTAGTACTGGCAGTCAATTCTTTTTATAAATTGTCAGATACATGTATCCTCTCACAGTCTCATATATCAACTTTTCGTCTTGGATGGAATTATCAGTTACCATATATTAGCCTGTGTACCTGTTATCGCTTGTTACTTCAGTCAGTTATATAGAAGGATAACTTGTGTTTTCCTTTTGCTTTCGCAACTTCAGTTTCTTGAAATCTTTGTTATGCATCCAAATGTATAGTAGCAATGATCTTGGTGTTAAAATTATATTTGGAACATATTTAACCAGTTCTATCACATATGTAATAATGTCTGACACCCATATTGTCCTTTAATAGGATTATTAGGTTGAACTGTGTATAAATACCATGTATTTTATTGCTTTAAAATATCTTTTCAGTTGATTCCTTTGTTTTTCTTTACTGGCATTGGATTTGCTGGAGCAATGGGCTACTTATTTCGATTAGCTTCTAGATGCCCAGATGTGAGGTACAATTTCCTTTTTTTGAAGGTCATCATGTGCAGAATTAAGAATCTCCCTTTAAAATATAATAGAGGAATTGGGGATTCTGTTCAGTAGTTTATTATAGATCTATACCTGCCCCCTTTTGAAAGACACACATTGGCATGCACGTTAAAGATCCCTTGGCAGTTGGAATTCGATATAAGAGTAGGCCGTAGTGCCGCTGTCCGGGCAAAATTTCCCTCATAGCACACTGTATGGCGTATGCCCGTCTTCATTAGCCCAGGTTAGGAGCAGAACAGTAGGACGTTAAACTCCATTTCATTTCATTTCATTTATTGAAATGCATGTAATATTTTGGCATCCCGCATTGGTACCAGTATATGTATAAAGAACTTTAAATTTTCTCATCCTTAAAACCAAATAAACAACAAATTTGCTTATTTGTATATGTTTTGTTGTCTGCCAAGTGCAAACCTAGTTGAGATACAGATCTACTTGTCTTTGCTGGTTTTATACTATTTATAGGCTCTTAATCTGAGGGAGGTTGGATAGTCGAATGGTTAGCAGATGAGTGCTGTATCATAAGGTCTGTCCCCGAGTCAACTGGCATGGCTTCGATTACCCTGTTGTACTGACAAGGAGTGGGGTCGTCTGTCAAACCTCGTGGGTTTTCTCTGGGCCCTCCGGATTCCTCCCACTGCTAAAGACCCCTACACCCAAGTGAATTATTGAAATAAAATTGAACCATGGATATGTTAGTCCCGAAATGACCTAATTTGTGTCAAGTGGAGGTGTAATAAAGTTATAGCTCTTACTTTTCTGTGAATTAAAATCATTCTACATATATTAATATTGTTGTAATCTTTACAGTTGGAACAAAACCTCAAACCCATTACCATGGCAACAGTGGAAGCCAACCGATCAGTACAAGGTAAGAATAAAGCTATTGTGGAACCACTACAAAAGTTTCTTCTCAGGTTGCCAGAGCAGGATCCAGTGTCTTATTGATAATCTCATTAAATATTTAAGCACATGCATATAAACCAAACACCCAAATGTAGAGAAATAGCATCAATGGCTTGTCTGAAAATAATTCTTTTGTTCGTATGTATAACTGGTGTGATATTTGCAAAGATCACATACCACCACTATAACTTGGGCAAGTACAGGGAATAGCCACGGACTGAAAGTTAGTATTTCTGCAAAGAAATACCAGAGAGCTTCAGATAGGGATAGGAAAATCACTTTAAAGAGTTTTTCAAATAGACTTATTCCATGGGATTCAATAAAACTATAAATTTAAAAACATTGAACTAGTGAGAATATAAAATATGGAAACAAGATATATATTGAGGTACATGCATTATAATGCTAGGGCATGTATCATCTACCCAGATATACACAATAAACCATTACTTTCATGATTTCTAGAAAGTTTTATTTATAATCTTTGGATCCTGTACTCTCTTTAAATAAAACATTCTTTTCTTTTTATTTTAGTTTTATTCACCATCAAGAGACTACTCCAAGGAAAGATTCCCAGCTGAACGACCCCAAATTGACTAAATAATCTTACTGACAGTATAGTTAATACCGGTATTTAAAATTAAGAATGGATATGAATGAAGAAATAAACTAAATTTTATGATTAATTGACCATTAAAAATACTTTTGAAAGCATTTAATATTCTCTTTTGACCTTTATCAGTTAATGGTGCTTTTTTGGTTTTTTGTTTAGTTTTACAATTTGAGATATTTGAGTTCTGACTCATCCCCAAGCGCACAAATCTTGGTTTCTCAATTTACAATATTTTGGGTATTTTTCTTTTTTCTTGTCCATCTATACAGAATAGATTATATAAATTATGGTTTGTAAATATTCAGCTACCTGTATCTAGAATAAATGTGTTTTACTGATTGTGTTTGTTTAATAAACCCTCACATTTATTGAATGATAATTGTGGTTATATATTGGGGTCACTCTCGTAGGTCTGTCTGTCCCCCACTTGTAAATACAGTGAGATGAAGCAACTTTTTTTTTTACAGATTCCAAATAATTCCTTTCAGAATTATTGCTCCAATTACATATTCTGCACTGGAAGAATATGGAACGCTGGATTTCAATAGTGTCTGTTTTCGCATGAACACAGATCTCCATGCTTCAAACCAAATATGAGGGATGTGCACCAAAATCAAGTTTCATGTAAATCAAATAAAAATTGTAGCCTCTGGAAGGTGTACAAACTTTGTACATATTTCGCATTTTGGGTAAAATACAGGGGCCATAACATTTTTCAAGTTTAACCTTGGCATATGTATTACATGCATTGCCACTTTTTGTGTAAGGGCGGGGGGGGGGGGGAGGGAATTACAGTCCGATTTCCACAAAAATCGAATTCATCCCATAAAAATTCGACAAGCTAATTGTGCGATTTTTGTGTAATCAGACGCAATAGTCTAGCTAGGGTGAGATATGTGCCAAAATTGAACCTATCCGAGATCTTTAGGATATAAACATATATTTTAAGTTTAATCAAATTCATAAGAATTCTGACCAGTAGAGCCCTAATGCGGAGTTTATTTGGCTACTATAATTTGAAAATTCGTTATAAACGTTCTATTGCTTGCTTCAGATTTACGCAGATTTATGTGTTGAACCATGGTTTGTTTCTCTTATACAGTTATTACTTTGTTTTGAACACATATTGTAATGAAATGGCACCAGATCCATTATTATTGCCGCCTAGAAGGGGTTAATATTAACGAAATAAATCCGGCTATAAAGAGATAACGGCAACCTGTTTGTACCGTTCAGTAAGTTTATGACATCCATCATGGTGCTTTAGTTATAGAATCAGTTTACAAGAACCTAACCCTAGCGAAACATAGGTCCACCACGCACACGGAGGCATTTAAAACCTGGCACAGTCAAGATAACTCAATGATCGAGCTTAAAACATACACGTCATAAGATAACGCATATTCTGGAACGTGGGCATTTATGTCCGCATGATTGAGGTCATAAATTTACCGAACGTTAAAGACCGGGTGCCGGGTACCTCCTTTGCATTTGACCCAAACGCCCTCGTTGTCACTAATGTCAGTAACTTCAAAATTATTAAATGTTTCTGAAAGCGTCCCGTCAGATCATCGTGTTTCTAGATACAACGCGAGAGTCGCCGTTAAGCCAGAACGACGAAAAAGGCGACGATGACGGCAGTATATGCTTCCATAAAATATATACTGTACGTATAAAAATTGAATCGAAAACACATAAGCTTAAATATGTATAAATTCCACGAGCTGGGGGTGAGCATTCGATTAAATTAAAGGCTAAATACCACTCTTGTTGTAACTGAATAATATGTCCCAATCTTTATTCTGGTCAACAAACTGACTATTTTAGAATATTTCAATTAATTGATGATACAAATTTCATCTTAACACACCTTATTTAAAAATTTTGAAAAATTCAACATAATGGTTTGAAACGTCTAACGTAAACCTTTTCAAATGAAACTTCGATTTAAAAATATTTTCGAACCCGCTGGACAAGTAAAACAGGATGTAATGGATAATTTACACAACAGGTAGGACACTTAAACATCTAGTACTTAGATAGAGATATTATTTATTTTCTGGAGCTTTTAAGCCCACAAGAGTGTTATTGTCCCTTTAAATCTCTTGGAATTGAAAGAGTAATGATTAATATGTTTCACTTTTTCACAATGGACGTTACTTTCCCGCACCCCTATCGTCGGTCGTTGGCAGTATTTTATTTTGATTTTACGCCGTTATCTTTATTGGTTTTAGATCATTATAAAAAATATAATGCTCATATTCAGATTCTGTATCCACAGAAAATGATATTTCTCTTGTCTTTAAACCCCATTTTATTTCATTTCATATCTGTCTTGTTTATTGTGTCTCTTTTAGCTCTATTTGTGAACATTTTTCTAGCAGGAAACCTTTCCTGTTGTATAAGTGCTATGTTCACGTATATCCCGGCATCTTTGCCCCAACAAAGGCATTCCGCCCTCTACGACAAATATCAATTAACAATCTGTTGAGAGCAGGGCTGAGAGCAAGTTAAAATTTCGTTTAACTGGTTTTAAAACGCGTCAAATTTTAAAGTTGACGAGTTAATATGAGTTAATTATATGGAAGCTCCTAAAACATGGTCATTTTCGTAGCCAACCTATTTCAGACAGTAAAAAGACATTCTAGATCATTATTTAATAGGAACCGTCATTTTTATGCAGGAATACTATTGCATCGGTTGTATCCTCCAGAAGAGACGCCTGCCTTTGCTCGTAGAGAAGTCCATATGACGAGAATAAACGTTCAGATAATGCAGAAGCCGCTCATGCAGCTTAACAAAGTACAACGATCACATCGAGTCTTACCACCATCATACTTCTTTAAGTGGTCTCAAATCCAGGCTTTAGGTGGCATTTTGACGGGAAAACGTTTAAAAACAAATAGAATTTGGTGCCTTCGATCAAGATCCTTGATTCCGAATGGAAGACTGGAGATCAATTTTCATCGACCGGAGACGCACAATCCGGCAGACGTAACTAAAGCGGCAGCGGCACTGTGATCTCTGAATATTTTGCATGAATTAAGCCCCTTCATGGGTCTGTATAATGATTTTCCAGTCGAATTTGCATATACGTCACAGACTGTTAACGCGTTAATTATTTTGTATTAATGAGTTAATCTCATTTATACGTTAACCAGTTAAGAGTCTAAACAGAATAAGAAAATAATTCACAATTTGCCATAGGAATATTTATTGAAAAGATAACATTAAATATTTACAAATGCATGGCACTATAGATTTATAAAAATAATATAATATAAGCTTTCAAAAATAGTAAATCGGTACAATGTTTACATACAGTATCTTAATAGCTTTTAAAATAACAATTTACAATTTTATAACATACATGATTGTACTTGACAATTATATAAAAATTGAAAAAAATAAATAAAAGGGTTAACACAAGTCTGCGCAGTCCAATGGACATTAATTTTATTGTTTATTTGTTAAAATATAATTTGAATGAACAGCATGAATGAGCTATTGTTGAGATATTTAATCAAGCTTGGGTCTCTCGGGTGGAAATCTTTCCTTGGAGTAATCTCTTATTGGTGAATAAAACTGAAAAGAAAATCAATTCTATATGAACATAAACACAGACGACAAATCCAGCGGTAAACGTAATACAAAATGAAGTAAACGGACCCGGAGGTTTGCCGTAAGCGTCCACGGAGTTGACAATTACAGTCTTCACTCAAATTAACAGTAAGGATGGCAGCTTAAATATTCTAGCGGCGTAGCGCACAATCTGCCATAATTCTCGACACATATTCGTCATATTATCATCACCGTTTGTATTAAAATAAGAAATTGTATAAAAAATTAGTGAAGAGTGGACCGGTTGTGGCAAGACGGGTGACATCAGTCGTATGGAACCATTTCTATAAGCGAGGCAATCTGAAATACGAAAACGGGAGTATTCCCCAAACAGGGCATTCTACTGCATGTCATCACCAGCTGTGTGTCCGTGAACAAGAAATCCTAATGTTAGTATAGTGAAGAAATCGTCCATAAAACGGAAGGTACCGGTAATCGATAGATTGGTTGAAGATTCGTGTGGTATAAACTAACTAGCACGGTCATTATCATTTATACCTACCTTGTACTGATCTGTAGGCTTGTACCGCTGCCAGTGTTCTTTAGGGGTTTTAATGGTTGGATTCGACCAGCTGTAAATAAATCATTATAACAACATTAGATTATCTCTCTATGTAGTCCCACATGAATCAGTTCGAAGGGCCCGGTACAGATAATCTGACATTCCCGGCGGAGCCAAAGTGTTTATTCACAAACTCATCTAATAACTATTATAAGCACTTTTGTGCTGAAAGAATCTTTAGTGTCATTTCGTTGGATAGTGGCTCTGCAATGGATAAACCACCCACTCCTTGGAAACAAAGTTGTCAAATACATGTATTGCTTTACCACCACGCGACCTCGGGTTTTGTCCCACCCGAAAGACGAGACGCTAGTATCCCCGTCTTGCATTACTGACAAGGGCAACCCCTCTGGAAAACTTAAGAGGAACTTTCTCGGCCAACAGTAAATCTTCTGCAAGAACCGATAGGAAAGCAAACATGGACAGGATAAACCAGCAAGCGACAGTTTTCATCAGCTCTTCCTTGAAGTGTCAAATTTGACAATGAACCCATCCCACGTTTATGGTGCTATTGCGTGTAGCACATGCAGCTCAGTGGTTCTGTTGGAGCGATAAGCTCTTCATCTGTGAACATACTCTCAAAGCATGTCAAGTGTTCATGACTATTTATCATATCACAACCTGCATAGGTATTTGCATTTCAATATCCCCTACTTTTTTTGAAGAGTATATATACGCCCACTTTTGCCGCAATTTCAAGGGTGGCCTCCAAGAATCATACAGATGGACAACTATAAAATTTAATACTAGCTAAACAGAATAATATTGACAATAGAAAAAAGAAATATATAAACCTTTGACCTGTACATCGCATTCAAGAACTAGCAAAATAATCTCTGTGAATTTGGGGCAAAAATCTGAAAATCATTATGACGGGGGCAATAACTCTGCAGCAATGTGTTGCATTTACAAGGTTTCGGACACAAAAGTTGCATGCTCTTCTATTTAGATACTTCAGTGTTCGAAGTGTCATGGTCCATGGATATGGAATGACCTTGAGAATAATAATATTACTAACAATATATTAGTCCGAATCTTCTAGCCTCTGAAAACAATTTAACCCGGAAACAGTCATAAGGTTTGGACTAAATAGGATAGACATACATACCTCATAATAAAAAAAGTTCCGAACTTACCCAACTTCTGGGCATCTTGTAGCTAAGCGGCCTAGATAATACATGGCACCGCTAAATCCCATGACAGTAACACCAAATAATGGCACCAACTGAAGGCAAAATATTGAATACTTATTAATTGCGAACTGTATAGCCCATGGCAAAGTAAACATAGACAATAGTTCCTATTATGGGAAATATGTTAACTTGATTACTTGAGTTGATTATTCGGTCCACACGCCGAATTATTAATTATTATTAATAAAATGAAATGAAATGAAATGGGGTTTAACTTCCTACTTTTCTGCATCGACTCCGATCGACTGGGATACTGAAAATGAAGACGGGTGTCATGCAGTGTGGTATGATGAGGAAACTTTAGCCCGGACAGCGGCACTACGGCCTACTCTCATATCGAATTCCAACTGTCGGAGGTTTTCTGCGGACACGCCAGTATGTACACTGTACACCGGACTTCGGGTTTTCGTCTCATCCGAACGACTAGGCACTATCCTTGTCGTACGTTATAATATCATGGCATATAGATAAGAAAACATTAGTATCCCGGCCTGAAATCTAAACTCTATATTTGGTACTTAGGCCTATAGGCCTAGCTTTGAATTCAGGCTATGGTTTTATATTTTCAATTTTGTACCTTAGCTTTGATATTTAATTACCCGAGAGGCTAATATTTAGAAACTTGACACCAATGTAGGCATACCAAGGCTTAAAAGGCTAAACATTCGCCATAAACTGGAAAACGTCAGTCGCATTTCAAATGTCACCATGATGTTCAAGGGCAAAAACTTCATGCTAAGTCATAAATTTACAGTTTCAATAAAATTTTATGCTGAAGTCATTAAAATTTACATAGATAGAATACTTAGATTAAATCTATAATCACCATTCATGGATAAATCACAGTTTACTGTGTGGGCACAATAGAAATTGTTTGCCCTGAATGTAACTAGCTTTTAGAGAGGTGAGGCTACTTACCGCATAGTGTGCCTTTAGACTTTTAAGCGTAAAACCCGGCATAGCTTTCATTTTGGATTGTCTTCCTTTTCTCTAAGAGTCTCTGTGTTGGTGTTGTCAAGGAATCCGCAATTTTGCGGATAACGTCATAGTAACCTCGGGACATATTATCGCCCTTGCGGCCCTCTAATGATTTGGCGTGCACACAACTGTTACCGTCAACATAATTTGAATATTTGCTTGAAAATTTGCATTATCTATATATTTTTACAGGTGTAGGGGTACATAATAATAATTACACATTTTTTTATTTGCCCGATGTTTTTTTTGGCAACCAACTGAATTGTTTTTATTTTTTTAGATTGCGCAAATTTTAGGTGTATCTCGCCATTTACTTATTGAATCTTGTGTGGCAGTAATTTACCAATGTTCCCAGCAATCTAATATATAATTTAAAATGCACAATAGAATACAACATCGGTGTCTGAATTCAAAGGAATGAAAATTAACATGTTGCCTAGTCTAAGCCCGTTTTTGCGCTTTTAAAAAATAAACATCAAAGGGGTACATTATTTATTTTTATAATTTACAAACTAATTTTAAAAATTTACGAACTAATCTTAATAATTTGCAAACTAATTTTAATAATTTACAAACTATTTTAATAATTTACAAACTAATTTCAAACATTTATATAATTAATCATATTTTTAAATCCAGTGTTACATAATTAAATGCCATTTTGTCAAAAACGGGAAGGCTACAGATAGCTCCAATAAAATCCTTAATTTTTGTGCGAGAGCAACAAAACATTCTAATCATAATTCAATTACATTTTTAAATAAATATATAAATTCAGACGCATAAATGGATCAATCTTAGTGTCACAATTTGCCGGTGTTTATTTTAAACAGAAAATGAGGAACACGAAACGTTGACATAGCTAAAATGGATGAAAATCAAAACGTTTCAGTTGAATTAGAAATCCGCTGTTTTAAAAAAAAATCTAATCTCTACCCAAAACTAATCGAGACAGGTAGACGGCGTGCAGTGTGATATGATGAGGGACATTTTCGCCCACTCTCGTCGAATTCCAGACCTCAGGGGACAGTGGTTATTGTATGGTATTTTGTCCCATCCGAACGACTAAACTCTGTTCCTTGTCAAGTCATTCACAACTTACAATCTGAAATCAAGTTAGAAAATATCTAACTGCTTTCTATTCTCCTGGAGATGGAAGCTGATTTATGGATTAAACAGCCCGTCGTTTTAACACGAAAAATATGTAATACTATTCTAGAAAAACCAAATAACAGACTACAGAAGGAACACGGGTTGTGAAACCTTTTAGCAATGATAACTTAGGGTAAGCAGTTAGTCAATTGATCCGTATTCAGTGTAACAGTTTAAAATAAACTCAGTCTAGTTAATAGATTAATCTGTATTCAATGAGTATACTAGTGTAACAGTTTAAAATCATCTTACCGGTAGGTAGATTCCAATCTGTATTTGGTGAGTACTATAGTATAATAATAATTTAAAATCAACTCAGTAGTTAGTCAGTTGATCTGCATTCAGTGAGTACTAGTATAACAATTTAAATCAACTCAATATAGTAAGTAGATTATTCTGTATTCAACGAGTACTAGTTTAACAGTTTAAAATCAACTTCAACCGGATAATAGATTTATCTATATTCAGTGAGTACTAGTACACCGTTTAAAATCTACTCAGTCCAGGAATAGATCAAGCACCTGATCGCTTGGTTGGTGAATACTAGTATAAAAGTTAACAATCTACTGGGTCTAGGTAATAGATTAATCTGTATTCGGTGAGTATGACAGTTTAAATTCAACTTGTCTAGTTTATAGATCATCAATATTCAATGAGTACTGGTATAACAGTTTGAATTCAACTTGTCTAGTTAATAGATCATCTGTATTTAATGCGTATTGATATAACAGTTTAAAGGCTCAATACCACTCTTGTTGTAACTGAATAATATGTCCCAATCTTTATTCTGGTCAACAAATTGTACTATTTTACAATATTCCAATTAATTGGTGATATAAATTTCATCTTAACACACCTAATTTAAAAAATTGGAAAAATTCAACTAAATGATTTGAAAAGCCTGACGTAAAGCTTTTCAAATGTGACTTGGATTTAAAAATATTTTTGAACCCTCTGGACAAGTAAAATAGGATTTAATGGATAAGTTACACAACAGGTAAGACACTAACACATCTAGTACTTAGAATAAGGCTATTTTTTTATTTTCTGGAGCTGTCAAGCCAGCCAGAGTGTTATTGTCCCTTTAACATCCACACGGTCTAGTTAATAGATCAATCTGTATTCAATGAGTACTGGTATAACAGTTTAATATCAACTCGGTCTAGTTAATAGAGTTTAATAAAAGTTTTAACAGTTTAAAATCATCTCATTGGTTGGTAGATTACAGTCTGCATTCAATGAGTACTAGTTTAACTGTTTAAAATCATCTCAGTCTAGTTAATAGATCAATCTGTATTCGATGAGTACTGGTATAACAGTTTAAAATCAACTCAGTAGTTAATCTGTGTTCGGATAGTACTGGTATAGCACTTTAAAATTTAGTTGATAGATCAATCACTATTCGATAAGTACCAGTTTAACAGTTGAAATAAACTCAGTCTAGTCAATAGATTAATCTTTATTCACTGTACACAATTCCTTTTTATAAGGTCATGCTAGGTGCATGTGGAGGATCTGGGTTGTTTTATGAAAGGCAGTTGTTATAGAGGGTGATGATTGTTGTGGGGCGAAAGTTCATTTACAATTGGGATTCTAGAGTACAGGGCTGTGTTGTGATGAAGGACGGTTCTGTTTCATGGAGGAGGTGGCCGTTTGTTTGTTTTTTTTGGGGGGGGGCGATGATTTGTGGGTGACAAACATTTTTTTTTTGAAGGACTTGGGTTGTTTTATCAGTTTTATGAACAGTTTTATGAATAACGGGGGACTTTGATGTGGGAACCTTCATGTTGCATGACATTCAAGTATGTTGAATTATATACTGCAAACCCAAATTCATTTGTTTATCCAAAGATTTAATCAATGATCGGTTCCAGTTTCTATCTAAACCCACATCTCATCTACCACAATGTAATAAACCTTATGACCTACAGTACATGATAGACCACTTGACAGGAAGTTGGTTAAATTACAATGAAGTGTAAAAATCAGAACAAAAAACAAAAGAAAATGAATTTTTTAATATAATTTTAATTACACAGCACTATTACCAGCTCTTGTAGCAATCACATGTTTTCCATTCACACATAAAGTCAACTGTTTAGATTGACTCTCTCAGAAGCGGTAGAACTAATAGCTACTATATTATTTGTGGTTTTAAATGACAATATTACACAATAAAGCTCAATCCAGTGCCATCTGCCTTTTCTGTAATTTGATTTTAAGATGGTGGCAGAATGCAATTCAATGTTCCCATTGTATAAAGCTCAGAAAACTGTTCTACGTCAACTAGAAGAGAGAAAATCGAAAATCATTTGATTATCACGATCCACACTATATGTATGTATATATACTTTTTTGATGGCATATGCGATTATGGTATTTGTTTATTGTTTACGTTTATTTTGTTCATGCACATAAAATTCATTTAGAATTGTGTGCTTTAGTCATTAAATTTTTAGAAAACCATTCTGGTCTCTGTTTTTTCATTTCAACAATATATTTTCCATTATATTTAGGTCTTTCCTGCTCTTCTCCATCATATAAAAAAACAACTTCTGACCGGGGTGCATCATATTTTAAGGCATCGAGTCCCATAGCTTTCTGCATTTCTTCAGTTTCAGTTTTAACAGTTTGATAACAGTGACCTGAAATATACAGAAAAATAAATGACATAAAAGTCTTAAAAATTAAACCTCCACTGCAAGTGCAAAATGCCTGATTCTCCATACAGCATATTTAAAGGTTAATGACCAGGAAAAAGTCATACGGATAAGACCCAGTCAGTTACAGACACAGCCAGGTGGGACATCCAGGCCTATTGGTCAAGACTAGTACATGTAATAAGATATCTGCCAAATATATTGTCAGGCATTAATTCAGTTTCATGCAAGGTCAGACTTTGTCAGGCACAATCGGTTTGGTGCCAGTCAGATTTGTCTTTTTTTCTCTGTTTTTATTGATATTATCGATATTTCTAGGCCCAGGTACTTTTGAACATGTGATAATATACAGAAAACACTATTTTTCAGAAACGGGAAAACTGAGGCGCCCCCATGCCTTAACTCACTTTTACTCAGGTAAGGGCGGAGGAGGACTGCACCACACATAACTACTAGGAGGATTGCACCATACACAATAACAATTACGGTACAAGTAATTAAAAACATGTAAACAGCCACTGTCTAACCAAACATTTTTGCAGAAAAAAACCCTGTTTGGTTCACCTAAAAAAGTGTTTTGTTGGTAAAATAATAATGTTAAAAACATTTCTACAAAATGCACTTACCACAAATTGTTTCCTTTTCATGCCAATTTCCACATTCCAAACAAGCAATTATATTATTCTTAGGAACAGCATATTCATAATGACCTTTCATGGACATTTTTCTTGTTCTGTTTTTCTCAGCAGTTCTTCTACTTTTTGGAACTGCCAGCAAGATACTGTCAAATATATCTTGTAATATAGATTTAGTAGATGACTGTTGATTGTTAACATGATTTTCTACAGGTTGGATATCATAAACTAATTCAGCTTGAAAACCTACAAAGGTAAATAGTCATTTAATATTCCATTCTGTTATACATAGATGCATGCTTTTTTATCGATTTAGTAGATGAATAAAAAAAAAATACATTTATAATATATATGTCCCCACCATTGGATTAGTTAGACCTTTTGAAAGTGATACATTTTAAACAACTGATTCATCTATATATAAATCTGGGAGTACAGGCTAGTTTCAAATAAGTCTTCTGTAAAAATTTAGTCTTGGTGTGTAAGAAAACTGATGAAGAACAAATGTGCGCATCTTGAGAAAAGGTGCTATAGCTTTTGCATAGCTAGTATGATTCACAACCGCTGTGCCACTGTCGTCTAATTATAGTCTCATATATCACTACCCTGTTCCTTGATTGAGGTTTCCCCAGAATCAGGACCACACACAGTTGATAATCACTTCCCATAATTTACATACGGTACTGTACTGTATTTTTATATCATTGATAATGGTCAAAAGTCAATGTGTAATTGTTATACCAGTAGGATTCTAAACTACAATAAGTCTTCTGTAAAAATTTAGTCTTGGTGTGTAAGAAAACTGATGAAGAACAAATGTGCGCATCTTGAGAAAAGGTGCTATAGCTTTTGCATAGCTAGTATGATTCACAACCGCTGTGCCACTGTCGTCTAATTATAGTCTCATATATCACTACCCGTTCCTTGATTGAGGTTTCCCCAGAATCAGGACCACACACAGTTGATAATCACTTCCCATAATTTACATACGGTACTGTACTGTATTTTTATATCATTGATAATGGTCAAAAGTCAATGTGTAATTGTTATACCAGTAGCCTTCTAAACTACATATATATTCTCTATGAATGAAAGGAATCACTCTCCATATAATAACTCTTCTTTGTCCAAACTGGAAGAGCTTTATATTTATAAGGAGAGTGATTTTGACTTAGCATATTAACTTAAGGTGGGCCTTTTTTCCATCTCACCAAATAAATATAGAAGGATTTCTAGACATAATTTGCTGGTGCCATTAGAAATAATTCGAAATAAAAAATTAACATTAGGTTTTCTCTCAAAATGTATTAAATTAAACTAAGGGTTCCAGATTGATACGGCCTGGCTGGGATACCATATTATACCTATCATTACATTAAACATTTGACCTTTAGAGAAGAAATAGTGTTAACATATTCTGAGTAGATACAACGTATATGGAATTTGTTGTACAGGATTGTATTGGTCTTTTCTTCCTCTAAATAGTCATGCCTTTTTTTTATTATAACATTTATTAATAATAGCAAAAAATTAATCCTCTCATAAGTAACACAATACTAGGAATGGTTAAGGGGAGGCAACTCCATTATTTAACACACTCTACAGAAAAAAGTCACAACAAAAAAATACGGCAATATTACTGACAATTAATGTGTTTTGCTAGTCGTTTTGATGTCTACAGTTACCTGGAGGTGGATGCAGTCCCATCCATTGAAATACTGCATGTTCAAAACGGCGAAATGCTCCTAAGAGCCGAGTCATGCCGTAGGGCGCCGCCATCTTGATATCAATTGTAATCTTGCCTCTGGTTGGCTACAAAATTACCTCTCCTCCAATCATTGCCATCTTTTGTGATTGTAGCCTGGTTTTAAGGCCATAATAATTTCATCGACATCATGACGGAACGATACAGTTTTTCACTGACAACTTTCAGGTATAATTGCTAAATTACACAATTACACAATTCCACGAAACTCATTTATCAGTTTAGACTTCACTGTACGTGTCTAAGCTTCTGTCTTTTCAGTTGGACACTACATACATAATAACATAGCCTACTCATGGACTCTGATGGAGTAGATCAATCAATGAAACAAAAACTGATTGAGGTAGATCTACCGATCAAGAATGGTTAAAATATGTTGTTATTATTTCTAATCTTAAGTGTGTAAATCCTAAAAATAAAAGTAAAAAAAACCCAGACAGGCATTGTAGATTATACTGACAATTATTTAATAAATACAATCTATCTAGAGGTCTTTGGATAAATAAATCTAGTAGGCCTATAAATTTAGGGCCTACATGAGTACATGTACTTGAAAGATTTAGTTATAGTTAGTTCATTACACCAAGACCAAGCATTGCTCCAGACTATACAAAATCAAGAACATTTCACATTTTTCTAAATCGGAGGTAATATTGTCAAAATGGTTGATATGTTACACGTCCATCAAACTAAATCCACATAATTAATGCATGCCATGGGTTAAAAAAGAAGTTGATCTTCAAAAATACCTTTTATTTTATTTATTGTCTTCCTTTTGTTTCAGTATTCGAGAAACTTTAACACTGGGTAAAATAATAAAATACGTTGAATTATGGGTGAAATTATAATCAAATACGAACACTAATGATACATCTGGTACAATAGAAAACAAATTATACAGAATTTTCACAATAACCAACTTTATTCTTATGAAAATAGAAAAAAAATTTCACACAAGTAGGCGGCTAGGCCTACCATTTTCGATGTCAACCATCTTGGAAATAAGTCCTGCTCCCTCTACTCTACCTAAGATGATGGAGTAAGCGGGACAATGTCCGAAGCAATACTTTAGTATTACTTCATTTACATTCCATGTACCTGGTGTACACCGATCATTAAATCAAGTACGTCCATAGGCTGTGTCTGTTACTTAATATTTATGTCATCCTGCTTCTGAGGGTAATCATTCTAAGCTTATCCACATTGTTCACGAGTGGTTTGAAATTTATGTTCATTTTTCAACTTATTCAGATGCAGAAGTCTTGTCAACTTTAACAATTTCTATGAATAAGTTCTAGAGTTATGGCACTTGTTTGCATTGAAGAATCTTGTTTGCTTTCTTACTTTCTTACGACAAAGGTTTACCAGCAGATCTGCTTCATTTTGATATTGTTTGATTAATTTTTCTGTTAATTACTTGTGTAGAGCTATGAGCCTTGGCTCTTGTTCTTGTAAATCTTGCGAACACTTCAGTTTCCGATCTAATAGAAATTGATTATGGTATGCATTAGTGAAAAAAAAAGAAGTCTATTGAATTAAGCTTTCTCTTGCTTGCTTTTAGAGTTATGGCCCTTGTACTATGTAGAATGTTTTGAATGCTTTAATTTAAAATGTCATCTTCACACTCCTGTGTTTGTCAACCATCAAAATGTCCATTAAGGAGAGGAACAAGCAATTGAGACATTTTGAAATGTGTGGACGAGTCAACGCTTTTGAATAATTTGCTGTGAAAATGTGTGTGTATTGCATTTAATACGTTTGAATGTTATTCATAATTGTCATGTAAAGAAATTATATTATATAATGTCTTTTTCAGTCCATCCGGAAAACTTGTTCAGATTGAATATGCCTTAGCCGCAGTTAGTGCTGGTGCCCCATCAGTTGGGATTAAAGGTAGGTATATTTTCTATTTTGTGGTGTAAAGACATCAGTGTGGTCTTATATTATTATATTGTTTTTTTAGGAGCCAAATTGATAAGTTTAATTCACAGGACAATATTTTTAATAAAAAATATATTTTTCATATAAGTTTATATCGCGATAACTCTTTATTTTGAAAATGTGTCTTTAATATTAATTAAAGTTAAATGAATTTCAGTCCCCATTTTCTGGCCCTTAACCAAACACATGTTTAAAACTAAATAACATGCAAACTTAGTGGTTTAATAAAATGTTGTTATTTAAATGAAATATATACACATACTGTATGTAGATCTATTTTTAATTTGAGACAACATGTAGGAATTGTATAATGTTTTTTATCAACTAATTTCAGCGGTAAATGGAGTTGTTCTAGCTACAGAAAAGAAACAAAAATCTATTTTATATGATGATCAAAGTATACATAAGATTGACTATATCACTAAAAATATAGGAATGGTCTATAGTGGCATGGGACCAGATTACAGGTATTGAAAAGTCTTATTTCTAAACATTTTAGTCCCAAAATGACAAACTTTGTTTTGAGCAGATGTTAAACCCCATTACTCTCTCTTAATGTTTGACAGTGTTTGCAAGGATATCCTCTAGGATTCTACCTGTGTGGCAGTCTATGAGAATCTCATGAAATCTTAAATCCAAAGATGTTATATAGACCACTATTACCCTTTTATTATTAAATTATATCATTTCATTTCATTGGGAATGCGAGGAATACCAGTTGCTGGCAGTAGGTTGTTGACATGTGACAGACAAAGTTCTCTTAATTTGAAAAGATAATCTCAGCATAACTAAGTTCTCTATTTATTCTAGATGTTAATTTTATTACATATTTTCATAAATGCATACATACTGATTGATCAATAATAAATCTTTTTCCTAGAGTATTATTAACTAGAGCACGTAAATTGGCCCAGACATATTATTTGACGTATCAAGAACAGATTCCTACAGCACAGTTAGTACAGAGAGTGGCTACAGTCATGCAGGAGTTTACACAATCAGGGTAAGCCGTATTTATGAATATGTTTTTCAACAATTGATCAATATCTTGATTCCTGACAAACTACAATTTAATGATGATTTTATCTATCTTCAATAATGTAATCAGTCTGGCGGTACAGAATTTCCTGCTCTCTTTTCTTTTCTATCAATAAAAGGTTTTAATTATTATTATTATTACAACAATTTATGGAACAACGATTTAGAGATATATGCCATAAATAACTGTAATGTTTTGTTTATTGTAGTGGTGTACGACCATTTGGTGTATCTCTATTAGTAGCTGGCTGGGATGAAGATGAAGAAAGACCTTATTTATACCAGTGTGATCCTTCTGTAAGTTTTTATCTATCTTTATTTACGTAACTTAGCACATATAAAGATAAAGATAGCCTGTCATCACACTTCATGGGAATCATGGTGGGGCGTGAGCATTGTATTACAAGGTCTGTCAACTGGCGTGGTTTCGATTTCCCGGTTGTACATGACAAGGAGTAGGGTCGTCTGTCCATTTTCGTGAATTATTGAAATAAAATTGAACCATATGTTAGTTCCGAAATGACCTGGTTTATGTTGAGTGGACGTTAAACCCTATTTCTCTCTCTCTTGTGTGAAACGCCCAATCAACAGGTTTTCCGTGATCTAAACTCTTTCATGTATCCATGGTAATGTTTTTTTTTAATAAAGTGTATTTTGGCCATTTATTTTTTTTTAGGGAGCTTATTTTGCCTGGAAAGCCACAGCTATGGGGAAAAATCACATAAATGGAAAAACATTCTTAGAGAAAAGGTTAGTAATAGCATTTTATAAAAAATCAGAAACAACTGTCCTCCATTTGTAATGATTTCCGCACCACTATGATGAACATTGATGTGTTACAGTCTGGGCATGCTTGCAAGCGTAGAAATAAGGCACATGTCACCGACTTTTTCAGGTAAAATTTCAGGTGCTGATGATTTATTCTTGCAAAGACTTGTCTTTTGTCTGTTTTTGATATTTTTGATACATACCAGCACAAAATTCAAAATATTGTGTAAGAGTTCAGTAGTGCCTGACCTTATTTTCAGGACTGGATGCCTGATATTTTCGTTAGAGATTATGCACAAACTTACCTAGTACAGTAGACATTGTAGAGTGGGTAGGCATAATGGCATGAGTATAATTATAAGGTCTCTGATATATTTGAAGTAATATAATAATTGGTATAATTTACATATAAATTGTGAATGTACATTGACATGCTGCTGGTATTGCACTATAATGGCCAGTTCTGTTTTCATTAAAAGAGAAAAGAAATCAACTTGTATTATCTTTTAAGTTTCTACCCTGATGATGTTGTATTATTTTCTATTCTGACACTAGAGCTAGAAGAAAGAAATGTATATTTGCTTCCGTGATTCCATTGTTATGTAAATGTTTTTCTAATAATTTATAGATATAGTGAAAAGCTGGAATTAGAAGATGCTGTTCACACTTCTATCTTAACATTAAAAGAAAGCTTTGAAGGTCAAATGACAGAAGACAACATTGAAATCGGCATCTGTAATCAAGACGGCTTCAGAAGATTGGCACCATCAGAAATTAAGGATTACTTGGCATCGGTTTCCTAATATGATTAGACTCTAATTTATTTCATCATATTTAGAAGTTTATCTGAATTATCTTCATTATATTTCTAGTTCGTGTAAAACACACAGAGATCTAATTGTACTGTAACAGTCAACAAAATAAAATCATTTTTTTTGTTATGTAAATATTTATTTATATTTTTTATGATGTTTAGTATGAATATTATTAATATGTGGCAGAAGATGTAAATTCTCTTCAATCCAACCCATCAAAGGAACTTGACAAATCCTCCTCTGGCCAGGATAGTATGGGTATAGACGGTATTCAGTCCCTACTGGCGAGAGAGGGGACCCAAATGGTTAACACGGTGTGGTTTTGATTCTCTGCTTGTACGTGAGGAGGAGTAGGGTGGCCTGTCCAACCTCGTGGGTTTTCTCCAGGTCCTCCCACTGCTGAAAGACCGCTACACGCAAGCGAGTTATCGAAATAAAATTGAACCCTATGTTAGTCCTGAAATGACAGTCTGTGTCGAGCGGACATTAAACCCCATTTCTTTTTCTCTATTTTGAATGTTCGAAATTTAATTAGGATAATGTGAACTTTGTGGAATTTAGACTATTCATTTTGCACAATGGTGGGGTGGAACTTGCATTCCAGATATGGTTGAAATTATTCCCGCTGGTTGTATTGCTAACAGAAGGCAAGCCTCCATTGTCATTGATGTAACAAGTTGTTCCCAGGGGAAATAATACAGGTATCTTATTAACACTTCAGTGGCATAATATAGCGATTAGAGACATAAAAAAACTAAAATAATCTTATAGAACAATTACTGGTTTATTATACACAGACCCGACATTTCAATATGTATAATAAACCAGTGATTGCTGTCCCATATAACTAGGTTAGTTTGAGATTCTTATTAGTTGTTTAAATCAACAGGGCCAGTCAATAAGTGATGAACTAGATGTCAAATGACTGTTATTCTATAAACCTAGTTTACAGTTCAATCGGGAATCTGTGAATTTATTTTATAGATCACATACAAGTCATTTTGATCACAGGTTATTCTGTAAAATGTTGTCCATATTATAATATTCTAATCTTTCATGGATAGGTCTATATTGACAAATACTGGAATAAAACTTGAACTTCCAATCCAACAAATGATCTTGTAACATGGACGGGAAATCTTCCTTTGTTCTTTTCGTTGAATAAGCAGATTGTTTTCCCTCCAGTAGATAGGGTGGAGCTTAACCGTGCAATAACTAGACATGTTCAATGTTATTGCACTCTTTAGCTGGTAACACTAGTTTAAGTAGAAATCATATAGAGAAGTGGGGTGGGTTTTCTGTGCAATAACAACAAGCATGTTGAGCAGATGTCAATGTTACAAATCATTTATAGCACGCTTCATTCATGTTAACAGGTTTGAAATGAAATGAAATGGGGTTTAACTTAACGTATTACTGTTCTGCTCTGAACTGGGCTAATGAAGACAGGCATACACCATACAGTGTGCCATGAGGGAAATTTTGCCCGGACAGCGGCACTAAGGCCTACTCTTAATCGAATTCCAACTGTCAAGGGATCTTTTACGAGCACGCCAATGTATACACGGGATCTCAGTATTTTTCGTCCTATCCGAACGACTAGACAGCTGTCCTTGTCAGGCTCTTCGTTCTGCACCTCGATGTTTAAACCTGTTAACTCTGAAAACCGTGCTATAAATATAACATGTAACTTTTGAGTTTTCCTCTCTCTAACAATAAGCCTAAACACTCAGATTTTCTCTCCAGATATCATTTTGGTTGATATAATGTAATTTATATTGGACAACATTTATAGAACATATTTAAACAGTTTATTATCAACCAGTAATACTAAGTGAAAATACAATATAATTGTATATAATACAAATATTCCATTTACAACTTTCACCATCAAAATATCAAGCACTTTAATATCGATAATACAGGAAATCATTACGTAAAAGTATGAACAATAATACAACCAGAATGAAATTCTAAACATATTTTACTGTGTCAATATCAATAGTCCAACATATTAATTTAAAGGAGCTAAATCGCTAATATTTGGGACCTAGAAATTGATACAATTGGGTCGCAACATATATAATAATGTAATGTGAATGTATATAAACTGATTTACATTCAATCATTTCCATTTTTTACTCTTAATTTCAAACCAGTTATGTTCCATGAAATCTGCCAGATCTCAATCGAATGGCAATTTCTAGCGACTGGTTATTCCAGTCTATACTGAAAGTATTTATCGTGCATGCTCCCCAGATAAGAATATCACCGTTTGACATGAGTTGTGGAATATGTCTAGCCTCGTCACAACATTATGGTGGCTTGTTTTTCTTGATTATGAGAAAGTTCGCAAGAAATTTAATATAAAAGAAGTGACATGCACACAAAAAGATGCGCTTATGTCAGTTCTTATGTATTTAAAAAATAGCACAATCATCAAGGGCAGATAATTTGAATTAGTGTCTCCCCCAGGCACGAACCCAGAGGTATAGTGGAGTGGAACGGAATCAGACCACTGGGGATACCTAGGATGAATCCTGTAAAACTTCTAAATCCTATGTGATACTCTTGAAGAAATACAAACTTCAAATTTCATCATGGGTTGGCTGGCAATAAGTCTTCATATTCCAGGATGTGTTAGTGCCTGGATAACTAACTATGTGCATATATTTCACAGTGTTATGTGATAGGACTCAATATTTGGATTTAAAACATTAATACAAGGTAAATAGGCCATTTCGTTAAATTTTGGTCTTTTATCAACAGTGTCCTGTGATGTCTGGGACTTCCATTTTAATGATAGGTGCAGAAGCATTAAAGTGCTGATGTGCCATTGGCATTGGTTGCTAAAATATCAAATTTCACAGTCCTTAATCCACGATAATATGTACTCAGATTGATTATTTAACATTTATTCAAAATACCAAAGTTAGATAACGTTCGGCTTGAATTCCATTGGATTTAAACAAGGCCCATCTGGTTTCTATCCTACCAATAAAATTTCAATTACACATAACTTTGTAAATACTGAACAGAATTGAACCATTTTTGGACTGCTATTCCTATTAGAGATTAATCTTTCACAATACTGTAGTTTACAATGAACCCATTTTAAGAAAGGGAACTAAAGCTGAAGCCATTTGTTTAAAATGTTAAATACTATGATAATATACAGTAATAGTTACATTTCACAACGAATGCTGATAATTTACAGAAATGTATGATAAATATGATTATCTAAGTAATATAAACAATTCCAATAGTTCATACAGCAGGAAGGAACATTAGGTTTAAAGGAGCTAAATCGCTAACATTTGGGACCTAGAAATTGACACAAGTGGGTCGCAACTCATATAATACTGTAATATGAATGTATATAAACTGATATACATTCAATGGTTTCCGTTTTTACTCTAATTTCAAATCAGTTATGTTTCGCGAAATAAGCCTGCAGTCTCAATCGAATGCAAATTTCTAGCGCCTGGTTATTCCAGTCTACATACGCCGTTTGGTTTGGTGCAATATGTCTAGCCTCGTTCCTCGAGTCTCTTAGCTACTTTAATATCCACTCAACAAGAGCTCATTTGAGACAAACATGTCCATTATTAGTCCCCATAAATCATCCAAGCTCCTAATAGTAAGGGGAAAATTTAGGCAACTAACCCTAACCCTTGTCACCTACTATTGTAGGATTGAATGAAACCCCAACTGAATTTCATTATAAGAAAGAACAAATCTAACAACATGGCTACTGGTGAGTTGGTAAAGCTTCATAATATTTAATTATTTCTTACTTTTACTGAAACTTCATTTATCGTAAATACTTTGTTTTGTTCCAGAGACCTTGCTTATCTCGAGAAAAAAACTCATCGAAATATAATTATAATACAATCTGGTGTTATTTCTAAACATAAATAAAGTGAATACAGCAATGTCAGCTTTTATTTACAAAATCTGTTTTTAAAATTTGTCATCTATCAATTAATCTGATGAAGAAGAACGATCTCTACTCCTGCGTCGCCTGCGATCACGACTAGATGAACTGCTGCTGCTACTACTGCTTCTTCTTTTTCTTCCTCGTGACCTTGATTTACTTCTTGATCTTCGATTATTTCTATAGAAAAATTGGAAAAAAGGTATACATAAATCCAGATTAGATTCTGAAAATAATGCTCTGTGGGGGTAGTTTGTCTGGTTAGCCATTGATGGTATGGATTAGAATACAACTAATGTAAAACTACATTTATTCACTCTCCAGTCTCCAAGTCAAAGATAACATAATGGGAGATAACTCTAAAGAACTCAAATAACTAATAAAGGGGAGGAAACTCGTCCATGAAAGGTGGCATTTGCACACAATGTTTAGAGGATTTCAAGAGATACATGTATAATTACTCAAATTTAGATTATGGCATTTTTTTTCTCAAAACGGCTTGTTATAGATTTTATACACATATAATTGATCATCAAAATAAAAGTAAAAGTAATGTTCTATCCTACCCTCTTGATCTATTAGAACTTCTTCTCCTACGATCAACGGATCGACTTCTGAAAATGTTAAGTAGTTATCATAACTAATTGGAATTCTGAAGCATTGGGACAGAATCATCAATAATTAAGTTGAATTCTATGGATCAAATGCATCTGAAAATTTCCCACTCATTTAAACTCTTAATAATGTAGTACCGGTATGACAAAACATATATAACGGAACATCAAGTTTCTTGAAATAAATCCTGTAAATGCCTCAGTTTAGTAATTAATAAGATATATACATATAGTACCACTGATCCTAAACTAAAGTCTGTAAATACAATAAAGAGACTTTAACTTCCACTTGACACAAAGTAGGTTATTTCTGGGCTACAATTTTATTTCAATAATTTGCTTTCGCATAGGTCTTTAGCAGTGGGAGGATCTGGAGAAAACCCACAAGGTTGGGCACGCGACTTACTCCTTGTCACGTAAAATTTTGGGATTGAAACCATGCAACTTGACTCAATGACAGACCTTATGATCTGAAGCGATTAGGTTAGATCGCACACTCGACACCCCACTCTCTTCCAACACACACACACACACACACATTAACATGGACTGAGCCATTAACAACTTTCAAAGAA